CTAGAGGGAAGTTACTTCAGGCTTGTTCTAGTCAGTTCCCACAGACTGACTGCTAGTTTGTGTCAAGATTGTTGTCACTGTGTTCCTGGAATGTATTATCTGGTGTAGTTTCACCCAAAAAGGACCTAGTTCTTTGCTCTAAAACCACTCCATGCTGCACACCAGAAAGAAGGAAGTAGAGCCAGCCAGGGGATTCAGCAGTGTTGTAAGCAAAACACTGTGATTAGGCACAGACAGCTGTGGATCTTCAATTCATTTGCTCCTAGCCAGAATTCTCAAATAATTACTGTACTTTTAATGGAATTACTTTGAAAAGACCTGACAATGGGACAGCAGTTTGTACCAAAAGAAGGAGACCAAAGTTTCTGCCATGAAAACCCTCATTTTCAGATTCTCAACAATAAATTCTTCTTTAATTCTGTTAGGTTTGTTTTCTTCTCCCAAAATATATCAACATATTAACTTAGTCTTTAGTGTGAAGCAACTGGAGGTATTTGTTTACTGTTTATATTTTTCCAAAGACAAGTGTCATAAGTCACTGAGTTCTGTACATCTTCAAAAGGAATTGATAATTATATACTGTGTCTGCAAACTGGGGCCAAACTATCTCTTGTCATTGGTGAAGGCTCAGGTATATACCAATTTTCTGTAGAGGAAACCCTGATTCAGATGCCCAGAATGGCAAATCTGCAAAAAACTGTTCTCTAACTCACATTCTATTGCCCTCAGTACGCCCTTAGGTTACCTCTTCTTCATAACCAGGAAAACTTCCTTTCTCCTTCTCTTTTGTCCAAGGTAGTTCACTTCTTATGTTATCAATAGAAGCCAGAAGCTGGAGTTAGGATTTAAAAAACTCCTGAAGCCTCATGATAGTATCTCAAGAGATAGCATTTTTATAGGATGAGCAACAGGAAATTTGGTACTAGTACCCTTGACTGCTTATATGACTCTACAGTACTTTTTATATATTTGGTTCTGTCATTTTTTAGCACAGTTATTATACAACTTTAAAGTCTGCCTTTTAGAAACTCCTCACCTCTGTCTGAATACACTCTCATTCCCTTTTTCATCTGCTTCATCCATGTATCCATGTTGCAGATTTTTCTGTTTGGTTTCTAGAGCTTATCTAAGGTTACCCTGTGAACAATTTGAAGATTTTAATCACTTATTTTCTGAAAGGTCATTTTTTTTTTTTTACTGAGTATTAGCTGAGATTTTTTTTCCCTGTTATTCTGTATTAATTAATCCTCTTATATCCTTTATCAAAGTTACTGTGTTTTCCAAGACATTTCTTCTATTACTTTGATGTTCTCCACATTGGACAGATGCCTAGATGTGAGTCTCACAGGTCCCTCTCAATGCTGAAACAGTTTCCTGACTGCTGTTGAGTGGCTGGTTTTATGAAATAATTTTCAACTTTTTTTGCCTTTTTTTTTTTTTTTTTTTTTTTTTTTTGCCTATGGGCTTACCTCTCTCTGAGTGTTTTTTCACCCCACTTTACATCTGGTGTAGTTTCACTGAATCAGCATATAGCAAAATGAAATTACTACTACAGAATAGGGGATCAGGCCACACATTTCTACTTTTCAGAGTTTTGGGATGGCATTTTCTTCCTGCAGTGAAGGAGGTCTCCATTGCAGATGGGCCTGCAGTGGGGGCCTTAGAATAGGTTGGTTACTCAAAAGAAAAGAAAGCCCAGTCTCAGAGGCTGAACACATTATCTAGGATTATTTCACTTTACTCTCTGCACAGCAAACTGTGTTTTGTGAACAATATACAGAAAACTGCAAATGGAAAAAAATTCACATATGGTGAGTCTTTTTTGTCTCACCAGTACATTCAATGAGTAAGTTTGTTCTCCAGATTTGGTTGTATTTTTCCATCAAACAATTGGTGTATCTTGTTTATGTGTTACAGGGTGGCATCATCACTTTTTTCCTTTGCTTTAAGCAATCTAAAGATTGCTAAAAGCAAAGAAAAGCCATTAGCACTAGCACCTTGTAGCTGTTCTGCAGTCTAGAGGAACTGATTGATAAAACTTGAGCAATTTAAATCCTCTCAGGCTGATCTGTGCCTAGGTCTCCATTTGCTCAGAAAAGGCTTAATGTCCACAATCTGTTTAGTGAATGTTTATTTGCAGGTGTTTCATGATAGTGGCCATGTTCACCATGTTCTAATTAGGCATGTGTGTTTTGGACAATATTTTCCTTGCTTCATTTTTGTGTGATTCCTCTGAAATGCATTGTAACATATACTCAAGGGGTGTAAACATTCCTTTTATTATCCTAATATAATAGCCTGTATTGTAGTAGCCTATATTTGTAGAAAAATTTAAAGCACAAACTGGTCTTTTTTGTTAAGAAGGTTCCTGTATAAATAATGCAGATTGTGTAGATTAAATAAATGTCATTTTACATTTTACAGATGGTGAGGGATGTATAGACATAAGAAACTATGGAAAATATTTTCCAGTTTTTTACATTTCAAGATGTGCATGCTGTCTACTTCAGACTGATTTATTTAGGCTGGTAGCAGAGGAAAGCTCTATTTAATGATTAGATCATTATCATCTCTCTGGTTACCACAGAGATGCACACTGCTACAAAATGTAGTATAATTTATTTATCTGTTAATATCTTTGTGTTGTGTTATAATTACCTCTTGTTCTCTTCTCCTTCCATGAAAAGACTTGATGGTATTTTGTTTTGATAAACATGTATTGTTAAACATTTTTTTAAAAACCCCACTGAATATGCTTTAAAATTGTGCTTATAATTACTTAAATTATTTTTATTTTTGATGATGGAAATTACTTGTAGTAATACCAGTCTTTCTATGTAAACAGTCATAACATAAACACTCTATACCCTTTCTTTTCCTCCCACAGATAGTTTGCATTTTCAAAACTAAGAAAGTAAAAATGTGGAGAAGACTCCAAGTCAATATGTCCCTTTTTTTACCACATGCAGCGTCTTGCTTTGTGGGTAGTGCAGACCTGTTATTAAAATTTCTGGTCACAGATTATTATAATTTTTACCTTTTTTTTGGAAATGTAAACTCTGTCCTTTCTCACTCCTGAAGATTTTTCCCCTTCATGATCAACATAGCTCTTTGCTTTTCTGCATGTTTTCTGTCATAGTTTGCTGCCACCCCTTATCCTCTGCCCTTTGGCCAGCTATGATTATATTAGCAGTTATGATATAAAATGTAATTTGGATATATAGCTCAATTATGCTAATTATCAGGACAATTTATCTTTGCTACTCGCTATTCATATCTACAATTTGTGTTATCATGATTTTTTAATGTTAAAAACCTTGAAATTAGTTTTTATAAGGCTCTTCAAACTTTTGAAGATATATGTATATTATTGGGATCATTTATACTTCACGAGCAGTGTTGGTACATTAATGCATGGATGTAAGAGCTGCAATGAGTGCTTGGAATTACAGAAAATAATGAAATTGGTCAAGGAACACCATTTCCATTTAGAGTCCCAGTCATAATAGTGATAAAGAGTTGAAGACACAGTGTTTTCAGATAATTTTATGCAGATTGAAAGAAATACCCTAATTTGATTAAGTATAGAGTCTATCCATAACATTTCTCCCAGCCTTTAATACATGTGGTGCTATTTTTCTCCCTCAAATATTTGCAGTGTTTTTTACTACTTGTTTAGCTTCTCATCTGGGAATCAGGAGTAGCTGTTTTTCAGTGATGGTGGACAACATGATGTTTGAGTTTTATAAGCTGATTTGGGAGCCAGTGAATAAAAAATGTATGGAAATGTCAGATAATAATAGCTATCTGGTGGTTTAAGGGTAACAGTACTTTAACTAGTTTTTGTAGAGTATTGTCCAGTTTCAATACTCTACATTGTAACTGTAGATTATATATATATATATATATATATATTCTGTTTTATATATTATGTTATATTCTGTTTTGTTTTATTCTGTTTTCATCTTTGTTCCTTCTTAAAAGGAACTAATTGTGTTTTGAAGGACTTCTATTACCTTTCTTCACTCCCAAGAAGTGTTAAAATTACACATAAATGAAACAGTAATCTTCCCTGTGATCTACATAGCAGCAGAAATGGCCAGCTGTGATTAGAATAGAAACACTGCATGGAAAAATTGCCACTAAAATGAAAACAGGAATTTTTCTTTTTTAAAGTTACAGAGAGAAAAAACTGAAATGAAACATAATAGTACATGATCACTGTAAAGAATTTTTTAAAAATAAATTTGCACATCTTGAATATAAAAATAATATTAGTTATAAAAATAATATTAGTGTGGCATAGAACATCTTAATGCGGTAATTCTAAATTATATTGCAGAATTCTTTGAAGATGTATATATTTTTTGTGTGTAAGACTTTGGTCTAGACTATAAGGAGAGGCATTAAAAATTTGTAAATATATTTTAACTGAGAGCTGTTTTTGGAAGACCTATCATTCACTAGTGACAGATGTAGAAACTTTCAAAAGCAAGGTTCATTTTTTATAGGTGTGGGAGCTGTTTGTTTGCTTGCCCACCTTTGTATGTGGGGTGAAAAATTTAAACCCCCTTTGTATTTGTGATTGTTATTCTTAAGATGAAACGAAGGTTAAAACCCCAGATAATTTTTTTTCGTGTAAATCTGGAGGTTGAAAATGCTTTGGTACCAGTGAAAAGTAGCATTTACTTCAGATGATGACTCGATATAGTTCAGTGGTCTCCAGATAAATTGCAAAGAAGGACTTTGTGAACGAGCAATGCATAGCAGTGCTCAGCGTAATGTGGTTTTCTTAAGCTTGGTGTTTTCATATTTTTTGTGAAGAGAATTAAAAGATTTGAAAGAATTAAAAGATTACAAACCTAGAAGTGACAAATTCATGGATAGCTATTGCTACTTGCAAGCTTGAAAATCAGTAGTTTTCTGGAAAAATTTTTATGAGGACACTTTGGAATCTTGTGCAAGCTGCAGGGATAACCTCAAGTTTTTTCTTCTTGTAGTGTTGGTGTATGAGGTCCATGTATACACAGGTGCTAAGCTTGGTGCTGAAACAGATTCCAATGTTTATATAAACATCATTGGGACAAGAGGAGATGCTGGCAAAAGGAAGCTCCACAGGTCTAAGAATAATAATGTTAAGTTTCGACATGGACAGGTGAAGTAAAAACAATGTTGCTTCTGATAAATAAGAATAAATTATGGCTAGAAAACGGTTTAATCAAGAAATGTAAATATCTCTTTATTTACAAGGTTTATTCAAGCATTGACAATTTTCCTTATTCATAATTCCTTACATAATTGCATCATATGGATAATTTTTATCTGCTTGATCAACCATTTACTGAGAGCTTTAGACATTAGAATTTGTGTATTTTGGTTATTTGTATTGAATTTATAGGTAAAATGATAACAATATCTTTTTTGTTGTCCTGAACAGATCACTGTAGATTTTAGAATCAGGTTCTAAATTAGTATTCCTAAGTATGTTTTCCAAACTTGGTGAGGCACATAGGGCTAGAAAATATAATGTAGACACAACCAAATAATTGGAACTGATCATTGCGTCATGCCAAAGGTATCAGTGCTGCCTTTGTGGTGTAATTTTCAGGTGTTATTTATCTCAGAAAGTTTTAAAGGATCCTCCCTGTTTGGCCAGGATGAATATAAACTAACTGTATTCATTTTGAAAACAAACAAACAAACAAAATATTTTTAAAAAAGCTTTCCTATAATGTTAGAGCCAAAGCAGTAGTTATGTTTAAGACCCTTATAATTTTCCTTGTGTGGTTCCACAGATGGATATTTTCTGCATAAAGGCTGTCTCACTGGGAGACTTGGAGAAAGTTCTGATTAGCCATGATGGCGCTGGTCCAGGTAGGATTTAATTTCCTAGAGACCAGTGTGTTTTCAAGTCCTTTTTAAACCCAATGCACTCGTTTGTGCTGCATCCTTCATAGAAAATGTGACAGAAGGTCTTGCAGTGATAAAAAGTCTTCCTGCAGGTTGATCACTGTGATGAGATGATGAAAAACTGTGGTAATGGACAGAAAAAAGGGCATGAGTTTAATGTCATATACTGTTATTCTACTCTCTGTTTTCACAGTTATTTATAAGAGAGCACTATTTATTTGCATGTAGAAAACTTTCAAAAATGTGGCTCGCACTGGTAAGACAATCTTTCACTAGACAAACAGTAAAAACTATCCAGGAAGGAATTAAAGGTATTCAGCAGCTGATTCGTTACCTGACAAAATTTGACACAATGTCCTCACTGCTTTGGGCAATTGTAGAAGATTTGATTATACATTTGATCTGTGAAAGTCAATGTGGAGCTTATTCAGTGAGTGACATTGCATTCAGCTTGTAGGTTTTTGAGGAAAGAAGAAAGAATTTGGTAATGAGATGAATTTTGGATACAGGCCCTTGAAGAAGTGTACATCTCCCTGGAATGATGTAAATGAAGAAGAGGGTAGCTTTTAAAAGCACCAAAGACGTAAATACTGCAAGTATGCTTGCAGATGAATATCTAGGAAGAAGCTAAATTAAGAGACAGATTTTTGGCAGTTCGGGGCTCCACTGATAACAGATTAGAATAGCCCTTTTACCCCACTCTGTTCTGAAACAGCCCCAGGCAATGCCCATCTTGCTGTCTGTACTGCCTAGGGCTCTGAGCAGGCTTGTGACTATTACAGAAATACCCATACCAGTGCAGCCTTGGATTGGTGTGTAATCTTGTTTCCTGTAGTCCCATAGAGTTTGCTGCCTTCGGCAACGCTGATGATTGTGCACCTGAAAGTTTCACATTGTAGTAACCCAAGACATAACACAAAAAGCACTGTGGTGGACCCCACCTTCCCTCTATTCCCCACAGCACCATGCCACGCTCTCTTGCCTGATATCTCCTTTAACAGGCAGCACAGATCAGCAGGATCGGTATTACAAATCTGTAACCCAATTCAGCTACCTCAAGATGTTTTTTGACATCGGCCTTCAAATGTGTGGGTTTGAAGGACTGTCTAAACAGGACAATGGATGAATTCTATCTGTAACAAAACGTGTGCCTTGGTGATTCAGAAGGTTGTTCATTGTACTCAGCACAGACAGATCCCACAGACATCTTTTGAACTGTATCCAAGTCTAGCCCCACATAAACCTAGCCTGGGTCAGCTGAGAGGTTGAAAGCTGGGGAAAGATGGTGGCTCAGAGAGAGACTCAAGATTTTGGTGGTTGAGAAGGAGGAAGGAGGATTCGTTCAGAGGCGGGGTGCCCCTTTTTCTCATCACTTGCCTGAGTGACAAGCAGGAGGGTCTTAATTCTTGATTTAGAATCTGTCTTTAGGATCCTTGAAAGGATCCTAGAACATATGTTTTCTTTGGGGCTCCCAGGCTGCAGGTCACAGATGTACTCCCACAGCTCCTGTGAATGAGGGAAGTGAAGGACTTTTGTCCTAGAGAGCAGAGCTTGCTCCATGCTCTACTTGGGGATGCCCTTTCTATGCGGCAGAAACTGCTGCCTTCTAGGGACTTCCATACTCAGATGCAGCCAGGAGGCAAAACATTAGGATAAATAAGATGGTTGTTTCTGACCAAAGCATCCTGCATGCTGTTTTGCTGCAATGTGCTGATGGATAATGGTGTGAATCAGGTGAAACCTCATAAGCAATATGACAAGTTGTGAGTGATGCAGGCACAGGGAGAACAGGGTGTCACAGGACAACCAGACCAGTCACTAGGATGGTCACTGGAAGTGATCTAAAAGATCAGCATGGATGTGCCAGTTACTACTGCAGTTAGAGAAAAGATGATCTCAGTAGCCCAGCAGAAGTGAGACTGCACAGCCCCATGCCTGCCGGTCTCGTAGCAGCAAGGCTGAGTGTGTGCTCCCCGCTGGCATGAGCACAAACACATTTCTAAAACCCAATTGTGTGCGCATAGCTGTCCATGCAGACCAACACAGGCAGGAACTTGGCATGTACACAAACAGTACGAGTGGCATTCCCCTGTTACCCTCTCCTGTTGAGAAGAACAACAGTCCATCAATGTCAAATACAAAAAATACATACAGGATGGATGCATAAGGCCTCCAGTAGCTGGCCTTATGCAGTCAGTCTTTCTGGTTGTTGGTTCTGGATCCTTGGAGCCTCAGTTTTGCCAGTTACCAGCACCAAGACATAAAAACCCCTCCAAGGCTGCAGCCCCACTCCATTTGCACATGAGAGCATAAGTTTTAAAGATTTGTTAATTAATATTTTTATATATGCAATAAGAAGTTCACTCACAGAGGACAAAATTTCCCAGATTTCACACAAATCTTGATTATGGGCATAAACAGATTTGTCCCAACATCCTTGTGCCTGATTACTGGGAATAATCAAAAGATGTAGGCTGGGATGTGAATGGTGTTGACGGTTCAGAGATGTGTGCATGTATTTGTCTCTAAGGGAAAAAACCTACCCCTCTTAATATTAAAATAGGCAAAGGTAGAAAAGAATTGCATCTCTTAGGAAAGACAAAAAATAATAAAGTTTTCATTCTGTTAATATATCTTATTTATTTAGATGAGATCTGTCTAAATATGATCTGTGTTTCTGCCAGAAAAAGATAATCTGGCCTTTTTTCTTAAAATTTATTTAAAAAATAGTATGATTTCACATGATAAACTTTTGTCATTTCGACACAGGCAGTGGATGGTTCCTGGATAAGATTGTCATCAAACGTAAAGAAGGAGAGGAAGCTCACGAGGTTGTATTTCCTTGTAATAGGTATGTCATTCATGGAGAAAAAGAATTTGTTACCTGCCAGCAACGTAATGAAAGAATTTTAGAGCAGATATGTTCACACAAACTAGATGTTTGAACAATGCCCCAGAGTTTTTCCACATAAAAGTGATGCAAAATTTTGAAGCTGAAGAAAAGGAAAAGGTTCCTATATCGGCATGGAAGGGAGTAATAGCCTAATGCAGAGAAGTCCCAAACCAAATGTTGCGTAAGAGGAAACGTGCATTGTTTTTTTCTTTTTTTTTTTTTTAAATCTAAATTATATAGAAACCATGTGAAATTAAATAAGCTTTCAGTTCTCAATCTTTTAAGAAGTATTGCAAAGATCTGAATTGTGGAAAGATTGTATTGTGTAAAGATTTGAAATGACATAGTTGTCATCATGGAAACGCGGTGGGATGACTTGCATGGCTGCAGTGCTGCCATGGATGACTATAAACACTTCAACAGGGAGAGAAAAGGAAAGGGAAGAGGTGAGGAAGCCCTGTGTGTTAGGGAGTATTTTGATTTTCTAGAGCTTGATGGTGGTGATAGAGTTGGGCATTTATGGGTAAGAGTCAGGGGGAAGGCCAGAAAGGCCAGTGTCGTGGCAGAAGGGTCTGGGTCTGTCACAGATCAGCCAACCAAGAGGGAGAGGAAGACAAAATTAATGTGAGCAGCTGGAAGTAGTCTCACAATCGCCAGCTGTTCTGCTGAGGAGCTACAAATACAACGCACAGAGGGGAAGGAGTTTAGGAGGTTCCTGGAGCCCATGGAAGAGAACCTCCTGACACAGCTGGTGAGGTAGCCAAGTAGAGAAAATATTCACTGGACAAAGGGATGATTGAGCCACTTAATGCCTTCTTCCCCTCAGTCTTCAACAGTAACACCAGTTCTCATTGTAACCAGCCCCCTGAGCTAGAAGAAAGGAGTGGGAAGCAGAATGAACCCCACAATCCAAGCAGAAAGGGTCAGTGGCTGCTGCACCACTCAGACATATACAAGTCTGTTGGGCTAGAAGTGATGCACACAAGGGCACTGAGGGAGATGCATTGGGTCACAGCTGCTCCATGGAGTGTTATAGATTTGGGGATGAGTGGCTGGAAAGCTGTCTGGTGGAAAAGGATCTGGCAGATCTGGTCAACAGCCAGCTGAACATGATCCAGTGTGTGCCCAGGTGGCCAAGGTGGCCAATGGCAGCCTGGCTTGGATCACCAAGGCTGTGATTGCCCCCTGCACTCAGGGCTGGTGAGGCTGCATCTTGAATCCTGTGTCCAGTTTTTGTCAAAAGTTGCTTTATACTTTTAGAAACTGCTCATGATCTTTTGTTTCTTAGGGTGGAATGAGGAGATAGGTCTCAAAAGTTAATCAAGCTATTTATTGCAAAAAAGCTGAAATATAGTGGAGTTTAGACTTCATGCATAGGAGATTTATTCAAAGAGTTTTGTTCCATACAAGAAATGAAATGTGTTATGGATCTTGGGTTTAAACAGATACAACATAATCATGGATTCAATAGAATAGAAGCTGATAGTGAGCATGTATTTATTTATTTTTAAATAAGTGAGGTTGTCAAAGATTGGGAAATATTATGTGAACAAGGGGGTTCAACGGAAAGGAATATGAATGTATGTTTGCAGTGAAATGATATCGCAGAAAAGCTCCTTAAATTCACCAGTATAAAAGAAAAATAAAGTAAGAACAGAAGTTTAATTTGTTGCTGCAGATCTGCAAATGTTTTAGAAACTTCCAGACCTGCAGGTTTTATATATAATTCTAAGTACAATAACTACAACTAACAACTGCAGGTTTATAACTCCCTCACATGTACAGCTGAGTCTCTGAACCAATAAATAATTAGTATTTCACACAATGTACTCCATGTAGTACTACTCACTTCATACAGCGACCATGAAAATTCTTCTTTGCCTGGAGCAAATTGAACCAAATTCTTCTTATATGAATAAGGCCAACTGTGCTGAGGGTATAAAAGAAAATTTGATCCTGGAAGTAGTTTCAAGGTGTAACTTAATAAAAGGTGTATAAAAATACTATTGGACACAAAAGGTAATGGTCAGATGATATATACTATACTAATATTTTTATTATTCTTATTATTTTTGCTTTTGCAATGAAAGATGGTTAGATGAATATCAAGATGATGGGAAGACAGAGAGGGAGCTAACTGCCAATAGTAAGTATTTTGTTAAAGAAGATTTGTTATAGCACTACTATACTTAATGCCTAGTTATTACTAAAGAACACTTCCAGATAAGACCATAACTTAAGAAAAAAGTGATAATAAAGCTTTCTTACAATTATTTTTCCTGTTCTTATTTTAGAGCATGACAGTTCAATGAAGGCATTTCTTAAAGGTAAGAGTTGTTTTCCAACCATTGTTTTCTATACCATAGTTTTTGCTGTTTGAATTTAAATCAGTATTGCAAGAAATATATGAGCAAATTACCATATTTGTATGTGTGTTTCCTTGTATCACAGCTGTGAGAGGACATGACAAATTGGCTGGCAGTAGTCTACAGGAAGGACTAGATCTTTATAAGCAATTGAGAAAAACCAGAAACCATTTCTGGTTTTCTTCCTATTTCTACTATTCTGTTCTGAAATCAACCAGGAATTCCTCTGAGAAGAGATTCAAGTGCTCTTTTGTTTACCCCAATGTCACTGTCATTTAATACTTGGGGACAGGTCCTCTAGCAAACATCAGCAAGTTGAAAAATGTGTTGTGAAGTGTCAGTGGAAACACTTTCAGGTCAAAATTCCAAAGTAGCCAGAAATAATGCAATCTTGAACTCCAAATCCTCCAGCAAAGCTAAATGCAATATGTGCATTTGGTTGGCTAAATCTGCTTGAATTAATAAAAAGACATTATTAAAAAACTCCCCACCCAGCTGTTTTTATATCTACAAGGCCAGTCTCATCCCTGTAATGCACTAGTTACCATCTCCATATTTCTTCCTAACAAGAGAAACAGACTGACACAGGTATTTTTTATGAACATTTAACTGTAAATGACTATTCTGTGCAACTCTGTCTGCGAATTTTATGGGAGCAACTAAACTAAAAAAAGTAGTGTTTCCATTTGTCTCTTAAAACAGTAACTTGCTCTCTGTAGGAGGAGTCTTAGTCTCCCAATCTAGTTCCAGTTTCAGTGAAAATTGAATCATTTGCATTCAACCAAACAGTTTCGCCAACAGCTTTATTATTCCACAAAAGCATGACTTTAACAAGTGGAGAATGATGAACTTGGTAAGTAAAGACTTTCTCACAGAAAAAGTTGATTTTCATGAGCGACTTGGAATTGGATTCTCCATTCTGCTAAGTGCACAGTTCTGAGAAACAACCATAATATCTGTTTCACCTTATGTTCAGAAAATAGACTATATTTTACTACCAATTCAAAATTTTTCCCAGCACAGTTTCATTCTTTGTTATGTTATAGTAAGCAAGCACAGATGCACAGGCTGCTCATTGCCTGTGAGCATCAAGAGTGATCAGACTCAATATATTGATTATGAGGAGAAAGGAGTGGCTTATTCTTAACCAGCTTTTGAAATGTCACACTGCCAAGATGTCCAGGAGGATCCAGAGACCATTGAGATCAGAGCTTCTGAAAAAAGAGGTTATAAAAAAGATCATTTATAGGAAGTTATCTGTCAGTTAGCTATATGACAGCTTAGCTTGAGCTGCTCTTAAACCGTCTTTGTTTTACCCATGGGCTCACTCCAGTGAGGAACTGAGATAGGTTAGAGATTGAACTTCTATGCCTTATGTGAAAAAGATGGTGGCTGGGGCTGATTTTTCACAGTTTAATTTGTGTTGTCATATCAGTGATCTCATAGACCTTGCATGTTTGAGCTTTGTAGGAGGGAACAATCACAAGAGGTTTGGAAAGATATCCTCAAGTCAGTTCTGTGCCATTCTATCATGATTCAGTGCCAATGTCAGAGCTGGTAAGAGAACATTCCAGAGATGCAGAATCCTGGGAGAAAAAATAATTCCCTTAGATTCTCCCAGCACCTGCAGCAGTGAAGATTCTACATGGTGGAGTAGTGATAAGCAGTCCCCTCCAGAGTTGGGGTGAAAAGTTTCCATGCAACATATATTTACTGAATAAGAGGCAAGTTCTGATGTTAGGGAGCCAATGTTTTAGGCACTCGTGTGGCCATATTCTGTATGAGTTGCAATTGGGCTTCAGGGAAAGTCATAAAAAACTGACTGGCATAATCCAGTGTTTGCTGATTTTCAGGGTAATATCAATGTGCTTAGGTCAAGTTTAAAGCACCAGATACAGAACAAATTAATTTATAAGTCACTCTGAAGGTCAGAAATCTCATTTACTTTGGATGAGGCTAGTAACCTGTTCAACCACCTAGCCAAAGAGGAAACTTTGAAAGTCATCGCTGCTAGGTAGGTTATTTGAGGGCTCTCTGTCCTTTTTCAGCCGGACTGGCATTCTGCCAGCTCTAATGAAGCATAAATCCCAGATACCTGTGACTGCTGCTGCTGGCTATGGATTCTGCCAAAAGGCAGTCTGCCCATATCAAGTTTTCTCAGTAACCTTTGTACATTTATACATTACAGAGAGGCTCTGGCAAATCAGGCATAGGAATAGATTTATTTGCCTCTGATTCTTCCTTGTATATTTGATGCAAGATAAATAGAGAAAAAGTATTGTCCTGGTGGAGAAGGCAGAAAGATGCTATCAGCTCTCAAATGAAGTTAATTTGAGGGATTTGAAGTTGATTTGAATGGGACTTTCTGTACCTCTAAAAGTTTCCTACATGGTAAGGGTATTTTACTACTTTTTCCTTCTGTTTTCTCTATTTATTTTCCTTTTCTGCCTCAATATAGATAAGGTATTGTAATAGCATATAGGAAAGAGTTTTCTCTCAAAGCAAGGAGACAAGACACAGTATGTTCCAATGAAATCCTCGCTGCAGTCAGATAAAAGAAGCTGGCTTCCTGTAATGTGATGCCTGTAGGGTGTCCTGAGGTTTTGTGGGTTTTTGTAGGTGGTAAATAAAGTGTGCTTCAGTAGCAGAGTTCGGTTAATAGCTATTTCTTGGCTGGCTCTTCAGTAGTGCAAGTTTTTTTAGTATTAAGGCATATAGAAAATTCATATCAAAAGAGAAAATATTCAGTAAGTTCTGCTGTGACTAATTTTGTTTTGGAATTATTCCCTACCTTGCAAGTACTTGATAACAGACTAAGAATAATCACAGCACTCCCAAATTTAAAAGGGAATGGACCTGCTTCTAAACTTCAACAACAGCATGTTTCCATTGCCAGATGGAGGCGGAAATCCCTAAGAAAAAGAATTAAGCAGACTGACTGCTCTGCCTCAAGGCAACACAAATTTCTACAGTCTTCAGGAAATAAGCAACCAACTCCTACATCTTGCAAAGTGTGAATGTCATTCTAGGTCTTGAGACCAAAAAACCCCAGAGCGAAAAAAACCCTGAAATAGTGTATTGTAAAAACAGTTTTGGAAATCCTTAAAAAAAATATAAATGGCTCATATTTTTTAAAAAAACACAAAAAATAAACCTTCTTTTTTCAGCTTTCTGAATTATATCATGAAATGTTGACTTTGGGTTTTGCCATGCCCACATTTCTATGTACAGAAATCATTGTAGGTTTTTCGTGGTTTTACTGAAGGAACTTTCAGGTTCCAGACTAGTGTTTAAAGAATTTCTTGCAGGAAATTGTTATACTGATCCCATTTAATTTCTGTAAGTCAAGAAATGATCCCTAATACTAACATATCTCTGGATAAATCTCTGTAATGTGAATCAGATTCTTGGCTATATCATTATAGTAAAGAGAGAATTCGGAGACTTTTTTTCCCACAGAATTCTGTTTTTTCCCCTACTATTCATTTTAGTGCTTCCTACATTGATGTCTCAAAGTAAATGGTTCTAGCTTTACACATGAGCTGTAGAAGCACAATAACACATGAACACACTAATTGCTCTGAAAGGAAGTTCAGAGCACAGGTCAGTGACAGCAGGGGAAAAGTCTTTTTAAATGCTACCACACAGATGTAACACAGAAAAATGACCTATTGAAGCCCAGCTATCTCACTTCCACAGCTTCACTCCTGGAGAGGTGTAGAAATCACTGAACACAGTAAATACTTGGCATCAGTCTCATGTAGCCATCCTCACCAAGTAAATGTCTGAGAGAATAGACTATTAGACAAAGGATTTTTTGATTCTTCTGGCATGACAGGTAAAATGAATTTGTTGAACTGAGAGAAAATGCAGTCAGTCTGTGTTAGTTCATTTAATAAACTGTAGAAGCATTAAAAGTAAGTGTAGGAGAATAAAGAATCACAGACACTAAGAGGCCTTAAATCCGTAACCATTGATTTATTCCCTGGAACACTCCCAACTGGTGTCTTAGCCTTCCTACTGAAATAATAATTAAAAACACAATCATGGATATTAATTAAAATAAATCACCTTGCCCAAAATACCTTCTATGAACATGCTGTCTCTTTGAGGAGGGAACAGCCAGTTATGCATCTGTGATTTCTCTTAGGGCTTGCTCTCTCCTGGAGCAGAGGGCTATAACAAAGAGAAAAAAAACCTCCACTTGGGAAATACACAACTGCAAAATTATCTTAATTTTCTCTCTGCTGTGTTCTTGGGACAGCCTTCAAAATAGAGCATGGTTGGACAGGATAAGAGATTCAGGGCTATGTTGGTAGTCTTTGTGAAAATTTGAAGCTCCTGATAAACACTTGGAGTGCTCAGGAACAGCAAAAGCTCAAACAATGCTTGATTCCACCAAGTGTGACACCCTGAAGAGTACCACATGCCAACCTGGCACAAGGAGATAAAATTCAAAGCTGGCACATATATCAAACAGCAAAAGTTCCTCATTAGGCAAAGTGTGGGTCTTGCACACACTACATCTGACTCATTGCTGGAAATGACCTTGAAAAAGGAGTTCAGATGGAGGGTTCCTTTCAGCTAGTGTGTTACTCAGAAGACTGGCTGTGAGATGAGTATTTGCCTGCTGCTTTCTAGCTGAGCCCAGAAGAGTCAGGGAACAGTCAGATGTAAGGCAGAAACAAGTTCTATAACAAGAGAAAAAAAATCCCAGGATTAGCTAAAAAAACAATAAGAAAAAAGAGGCAAATTATAAATCAAGGAAACCAGATCAGGTTTTACCTAGGCTCCATCTTTAAGCAGGCAGAGGAAAACAAAAGGTAGGAAAAATGCATAGAGTTCTGTAAGAAAAAGTCACATCGGATTTTTTTCTGAATTAAATTATTCTACAATTAATTTTAGCAGCATATTATATTTGGGCTTACAGTCACAAAATAGTTCTCTTTATATCAGTCCCATTAGCAAATTATTGTATTATTATAAATTAGTATTGGCCACAGTCTAAACAAAAGCATTTAATTTCCTTCCACTGTTAAGTTTCTCTTGCTGTGCAGGATCAAGTGTCTTTTCAACAAATAATTATTTTGAATTCAGACGATGATTTACCTTTAAGCACTTAAGTAGCTTCCTAAGCCATACTACCCATCCAAGGCACTGTATTTTTCCCACACCTGAAACAGCTTCCCAGTTGGATACTGGACTTCTAACACTGTTATGAGTACAGGTGACTTACAACCTCTAAAAAGCCCAAGCCATGAGGTGAGAATAAATCTCTTCAAAAATAACAAATTAATCTCCAAAATTTCCTGAATTCTGTATTCAACCCTAATGAGTGATCTGATCTGACAAATGAGCAGACTGAACATAACAAATTAAGTTAGAAAAATCTGAAAAAAAGTTGATGTTTCATTGTTTAGCTAATTATATATTAGCCAGCACATCTTACAAATGTATCACAAGTCTTTCAAAATGTTAATATTCTTTTCATGTTGCATAAGAACATTTTAAGAACTTAAATCTATTAAAATTATTACTGTAATTAAAGTAAATATTTTGATATAAAGAATGCAAAAAACACCCCCAGGCAAAGTGCCTTTTTTCTGCTTCCCAGGTATTAATCTCTGTTTTCATACCCACTTCAGCAATTGTCTTATGTTTATGAAATCTGAGCTATACTTATCTTCAAGAGATTTAAAAAAATTAATTATTAATTATTTATTATAGTAAATGGGATGTAAACTCATGGTAATCTATAACTCTTCTTTGTGATAGTCACAAAAGCATCCATTGCTCTCTACATTGATCCTAAAAATGTTTAATTGGTAAATTGATGCTAAAAATGTTTTTCCTGTTTTAGCACAACGTTGGAGAGTGCAGGTTAAAACAGATGGAGATTCCCCAGAGCCACAGGAGTGTAACAGGACCCTTGTGATTTATGGCTCAAAGGGTAAAAGTGATGAGCTTCTGCTTTCTCCACAAACCCCAGGACATGTGTGCTTTCTCCCCAGAGCAACTGATGAATTCATTGTAAGTCAGAAATATACAGTACTACAAAGAATTTATCATGACATTGCCCTCTAGCATATATATATATATATATATATATATATAAAAATATGGATGTAGATACATGCATTTGTGTGTGTGTCTGTGTGTGTGTCTGTGTGTGTGTGTGTGTATACATAACTAGCATTATATATATATATACACAGTTGATTTTTCTGGTAAAAAATGATGTAATTATTTACAAAGATGAAATGGCATAAGTATAGGTCTTGGGTCATCTCCTACTGCTAGTCCTGTTCTACTACAGCCAGCACCATGAACTCTTTTGTGTAATTTATTGCATTCACCAGCTCATCTTGCATTGTTTCTAATTCCCTGAAGATTCCTGAATTGAAGTTCACACAAAAGGCAATATACAATTATTTGTGAATGCTGAAGAGGAAGGATTGGGCAGCACTCCCAGGGGACATAAGTGGGCTTTTCTTTCCTTCATTTCCATCTTTGTAAAGTAGTATCCACTCTCCACAGGATTGTTCTGTCTCTCAGGTCAGCAGGCAGAGGATTTTTCTGGATAATCACAAATCACTGGAGAATGCATTCATGCATATCAAAGTGTGGTGAACTCTGAAGCAATAGCTTATATATGGCCAGTATTAAAATCAACCCTAACACCGTCCTGACCACCCATACACCTGACACACATGCTGATGATTTGAGAGGATTCATCTGAGGCATCTTTTAAATCTTCAATTCTGTCCTGGCTTTCCAGGCTAAGGCATTGCAAATTCTGTTGATTGTCATGAAGTATGGCTTCTAGCCAGCAAGATGGGAGAAATAGCTTGCAATCTGAGGCAGTTTTATACAGCTCAGAAAGACTTTTCAATGGCTACAATAAACAGTCTGAAAACAATGGCAAAGCTACGTTTAGAAAATTATGTCAAAGCTTCACTGTAATGACCTGGTCCAGGCTGAATTTTTAGTTTAAATAACAAGCTAAAGCAATTTAGGAACTTTATGGGGAGTAAATGAAAAGATAAATAGAATTTCTTAAGGACAAGGAAGCAGCTGCTTATCAGAAAACACACAGGAAACACACTGAGCAACAAACAAGCTTCCTATCCTATGCCATGAACATAAACTGAAGAGGTCAGTAGAGGCAGAATCTATCTGTGAAGCAGGAGCACCAGCTGACTAAATTTTGGCAAGCACCATTGCATAAAGCAACGATGCTGCTACATCCAGTGTGTTGGTAATTTCCCAAGTGGCAAGTATTCCTTGTTAAGGCTGTTTAATTTCAATGATTGGATATCACACTAGGAGAAATTAGTATTTCTGTGTGTCAGCTGTGGCTGTCTCTCATAGTCTGCTATCCTTGGTATACAGTACATTATGGGTTGTAGCCTTCCACCCCAGCAGCTTTCTGAATCCTTGTCCATACTTTGGATAGACTTTGGGTTGGTGTCTGTATTTTCCCCACAGCTATTTGTGTCCTTGTTGTTATTGCTTTGTATGAAGAATTTAGTACTATTTGAGCATTATTTAGTGTGCATGACATTTTATTTCTTTGCTGCATTGCTTACAGTGCAGCTTACAGAATAGCAGCTCTGGTATAAAGAGGCATTTGGGGATTCACAGGTATCTCCATAAACACCCTCACACCTCTTTAGGTACTTGAGCCAATAAACCCAGTTTTGTTTTGCTTTCCCTTTCTTTGTTCTTACTAAGACTATGCAGAAGAATGAGAAACTTTGCTGATGTTTTCTCACTGTAGCAGCAGGCTGGAGGCATGGAGGTGCTATCACAATGAGGACAAGCTGTGAATTCACCTTTCCAAAAAGCATGAATAAATGAACTTTTAACCTCCCCCCAAGATCCTGGTCCTAGACAAACATCCTTTGCAACATACCGCAGTAAAAAGAACAACAGGTTATGTGCTATAAGCAGCTCACATAGTTTTGAAACAGTAAGCTTGATTTTGATCTCAGAGATACATTTATTGCATATTGAGGACAGAAAGGCATGTAAATTCCTGATTTTCCAGGTGTTCTCACATAAGTATATGCACAGATGTATCTCATATTCAGAATGATTATTCCATCCAAAATATGCCCAATCAACTCCTATGAAAGAACAGGTGTAGTTTAATTGCACATAGCAAGCATAAAGAATAAATTAAAAGACAGAAAATAGAAGCATGCTCTTAGGTACAGTTGGGTTTTAGCAGTCTCAGAAATGTGTAGTATGGTAGTTGAGCTGCTTAAGAAAAGAATGTTTAATTAGAACACCTTGGTTTTAAAAATAAATTGAAAAATAGGTGAATGTGTCAATGTTATGAAATCTGGCAGGAGTTGTAGTGCTGAAGGCAACATGGCAAGAAACCAGTGGAGAGATAGAATTTTTTTCCTTGGTAGTCTGGTGATGACTGGAATCAATCATTGATCTCACATGGAGTGAATAGATTTGTAAAGTATATAGATCTTTCTCACAGTCACCTTTGTTGCTTGGTTGCTAGCAGAGTAAGTTTGTCAGAGTGTGTCTTTGGAAGGTCCTGCTGTATTACACACATTCTGTTCTCCAGAGAATCTTAGAATACATGGGACAGAGTGTGAGATTAGGAAGCCCAAAACCATTGTCCAAAACACTAGCCCAGGTAGTGCAAAATGAGCAATAGTGCTCTTCAAGTAGGACTGTTGGTAAATACACAATAAATTCTGAATGTATTTTGTGTTAAGGATGACAAAAAGGTGCCAGAAAGTTTCAGATCACACAATAAAATAATTCAATTCCACAGTATGAGATGATGCTCCAAACAACAAGCAGAAGGATTTCTGGGGTATATGACAGATGGCTGTCCAATTGAATTTTAGTAGGTTTGATGAAACCCTATTAACTAGAATAATTTATGGAGTGGGTGGGTGGGCATGATTTTTTTTGGTTTGTTTTTTTTTGGTTTTAACAGAGAAAAGAATGAAAAGGAGTTACATTTAAATATGCACCCAAACAGTAAAATTTACAAGGCTTTCATTACCCTAGGCATGATGTCTTTGAGAAGCCCTGTGTGAGTTAAAGACGAAAAGATTTAAAATGTTATGAAATTCTCTAATCATCTGTATCAGTTACCTGTCTCTGAGACCTTAAGAAGCCCAGTGGCTCATCCTAATTTTAAGAGCCTCGGTCTTAAAGATTCAGTCATGTAATGGAAAAAGTCTTGTTTAGTATGTTACAAATCACACCAACTCAGCTAAGATTTCAAGTTCTGAATATTAGAGAAATCTATTCAGAAGAAATAATTGTGAAAAAATTAGGAAATTATACTAATGAATGAGGTAAAGTATCCTCTTGCAAATATTCAACAAATTTAAATCCAGGACATTCACTGGATATATGCTTCGTGATGGATTATATGTCTACCTCTGCTTCAAAGTTCATGTTTCATCCATTAATAGACATTAGTGGAGGGAACAGACAATTTTGGGATCCAAGACAGAATATCATATACCAAAGGAAAACTACTTGTACTAAACTGGTCAGAAAAGGATTACAAGAATGATGTAATGGCAGCACTGGGTACAATGATGGAGCTGAACAAAAAAGTTAATGCTGCCCACAGCTGTAAGTGAAAAAACAAATCCATGAAAAAAGGGGAACTATCTAATACACTAATTTGAAAATAGCTGGTGTTTAATTCCACAGATCATAAACAGTATGATTATTAGTACTTCTTAGTTCAATGGCAGTCAGGGAATTAATTGAAATTGTGATTCTAGAAACAGAATGGAAAATTGTGGCTTCTAAATACTCTGTCCTGTTTTCTGGAATTATTTTCCTATAAATCTCCTCTGTGCATTTCCTACAAGGATTATAGCACATGTATTTATGACAACTTGGAATTCTAGAGAATTGCAAATTAGGGTAGCAGAAGACAAAGTAAAATGTGAATTACAGCATGGCCTGTCACATAAAAATAACCAAGCTCTGTACTTTTGCAACTCCCAAACAGAAAGCTTTATGGAATAAGTTGTTCGTAGCATTTAGAGTAGCTGTGTAATACAGTCATTGGATCCAAACATGAAAAAAAAAATCTGCAGGCAATTATTTTAAAAATAGTAGTCTGGTTCTGAAAGAGAAGAAGCAATGACTCTGTTGTCTGTGAAAGAACTGTAGGTTAGATGGGTGAAGAACCTGTGCACTCTCCTCTCATTGAACTCAAATAATTCCTGTTAAATTTAATCTGGTGGAATGCATATTTTGCAAGGAATTAATCCACTTAGTGCACCACAGCTAATGATACGTAGCTAATTATATCCTTTGCGGCATACACAGCATGAATGAAAAATCTTGATGCAAAACTCTGCCCACTCATTTCCCTTTCCACAGTGCAGGAGTGGGGACCGAGTCAGGGACAGCTTTGATCTCTGTGAGCACGATGGCACAGAGACAGGCAGGGCAAACCAGGCTTAGAGAGAGGACAAGTCTGGTGCCTCTTTTCTGGTGTATAACTACTGCTGTGTGGCCTTTTTGGGTACTGTGGAGTTACAGCTCAGGAGTTCTGAGCAGCCCAGGGCTGTTATATAGGCAACAGAAAGGAGTTCTTCCCTGCTCCTTAAACAATGCCCTGAGTCATGAAATTGTGTAGGAGTGGCATTGCAACCATTTATAATACTTACCTCAAGAAATTCAGACCAGAAGGGATCTTTTAATCCATCAAATGCAATTCCTTCCTACCAAAGGCCTCTTTTCATAAGTTCTGCATCATAAACTGGTCATAAAATTCCTGTAAAATGGTTTGGACAGGTAGCTTTATTTTCAATTAATTATGCTCTTCATACTCTGATATTTTACTATTTCTTTTGTGCATAACAGTTACTAAAAGTGATGTCCAACTCTCCCAAAATGACAAAAGCACATTTTTTTAGTACCTCTGTAATTAAAATAAGGTAGTTGATTCTTCCTTACATGCATGTGATCACTGTGCAAATGCACATGAAGTAGCTTTAAGCAAGTGAGGTCAGCAGTGAAGGGCTGTCATGTTGAGAGCTCTGCTGAGAAGCAAAATAAATTGATCTGTTAGGTCTGTGCTCTGTCTTAGGAGCCAATCTGCTGGTGGTGCTGTCAGAGCCAGGGCATGATTGTGTAAGGCTAATTTCAGTTTATTATTGTGATGCTACAGGCTGCACAAAGGATTTATTCCCTGGAGAGTCACCAAATTTTATGTTGTGATGGATGTGGGGGAAAAAAAGCAGCAATATGGGAGAAGAACAAAGCCACTGGCAACATTTTTTTTTAATTAAGTGTTTTGATACTTAATAAAAAAATTGTTGGCTTTAAAAATTACTAGTTCTCAGTTGTTGCACTCAAAATCACTTCCCATCCTGTCTTTCTTGTAGCTGCCCACTGCATGGATGCCACATTACTTCCTGTTGTTTAGAAGACTTATCATGCTTTGGTTAACATCATGCAGATCATTATCCACAACCAGCAACCAGTTACTGAATTTCCACATGTAGTATGGGAACGGGGCTGTGTTGTCCTACACAGTTATTTCTGTAACATAAAGGATTTACTTTTATTCAGAATTATCCCTTTCCTTTAATGACAAAATGGTTGTAAAGTATTTTTATGTTCTAGACAAAACCATTTCGCAAATGAGAATTTAGTAAAACTTCTTCAGTAGGGTTGTCAAGTGCTGGGACAGGCTGACCAGGACAGTGGTTGAGTAACCATCCTGGAGGTATTTACAAACATGCTGATGTGGCACTCAGGGACATGGTTACTGATGGACTTGGCAATGCTGTGTTAATGGTTGGACTTGAAGATCTTAAAGGTCTTTTGCAACTTAAAAAAATTCTGTGATTCCAGGCTCATAGTAATCATCTTTAAATTACTACCTCACTTGGCTGCTGATATTACAATCTTTAATTGTAAGTTAATGCTCTCTTTCTCCAGTAGTGTCACAACTTTCTGTGTTACCTTTTGTCTAAATAGCTTAAATGCACAGATCTTACTAATTTTCACTAATTCACTCCAAAATTATCATGCTTACAGTATTTATGCTTACAGAGTATCATGTTTACAATACTATTAATGGAGATAATCACCCATGATTATACTACGAAATAAAAAGGATTGATTCTATCATACACTTATCCCAGCCTCAAACTCAACTTTTCATTTATTTGCTGTTAAGTTTAGAAATACTACACTGGGATTGGGGAAAATCTCTCTAAGTGAACCAGCCTTGACAGTACCCTCTTCCTCATGCCATTTGGTGCAGGTTGAGACTGCAGATCTGGGAGATGTATACAAGATTCGAGTCAGCTGTGATGATGTGCCAGGCTTTAAGGGCTGGCATCTGAAGTCCTTTCACTTACAAGAGCTGCATATGAAACAAGAACTGAACTTTGAGTGCAACTGCTGGCTCTCTCTGAAGAGGGGGGATAAGGAGCTGGTAAAAGAATTCCCTGCGGTCGCTAAGGACCAGAAAACTTTACCAGGTAAAAGCACAGAAGACATAGACACTGTAAATTAACTGCTTGAAAATAAATCAGTGCCATAGTATAATATAGTGCTTTGTCTGCATTTGATATCTTCAGTGGCTCTGTTGCACCTGTCTTCACATATGCACTGCAAGAATGCTGAAAATTGTATTTGAATTTTCCAGTTATGCTGCATATTGGATTTTACAGTTGCTAAGTCTTCTGCATTATTTTAAATGAGAAAAACTGAGCAACACAATTGAACTTTTTAGGGAAACGAACACGTTCAAAGCCATGGAAATGATTTGTTCTAGAGTTAGTTGAATTACTTAGCTTACAATAGCTTTACTTGCTAGTGTAAGTATCAGAAGTATTGCACAGAAATGTTGGGTCTTTTTTCCTAAACACTACTTTTTTGCCATGCTGAAAGTTCTCAGAGATGTCCTTGGAGTGTGAAGACTTACAGAAGTCCTGCATTTGTTCAGAAAAGTTACACATGAAATAAAAAGTAATTAGAGACATGACTGCTTTGCTAAACGAAAGTTCCAGAAGTTCAGATCCCTGAGTACTCAAAGCTATTCATGATCTTAAAAGAAAGTATAGTGTTACATTAGCTAAATGTTAACTCTGCAGAACTGTACATTAGAAACAACTTTTGAAAAATTTTGGTTATTCTTTTTGTATGAGCCTGAATATATATGCAATTAAATGATCTTACTCAGAAGAAAATCTGATCTGACTGTAGAAATTCATTCATACAGGATCAATATAAAGGCAAAGAATTTATGGTTGCCTTCTTTAAGTTAATAAGTGCATTTTGTAGATTTTTATACTTGTATGTCATGTCATGCATCCAGATGCTATGTTGCATCTGTTTCTTATTTAAATTTGCATAACCTTATTCTTATTCTTTGACCTGTGTTAATTGTTATCTATTTCAAAGATAATTCAGTTTTTAATTAGTTTTTGGTTTAGTTACTGAACTAACTCAAATGAGTTCTTACTTTCCAGTTCTTGCACAATAAAACAGAATGGGGCAGAATTTGCCTAGATTCATGTCTAAATTGTCCAATTTCCTTCAAATTTCTAAGAAAGTGAATGGAAAGTCTTCATTGACCTTAGCATGAAGAGATTGGTTATTCATAAAGAATAACCTGATTATTTCATTCACTGTGTAGCAGATTTTTTTGTAGCAGCAGAAATAAAAAAAAAAAAAGTGAGTCTTACTAAATATTCAGTGTTGCTGTTTTATTTTAAGTACAGCTTGTACTTAATCAGCTTTAATTTTTTTTTTTTCTTTTTGTACAGTCTATAAGTATGTTGTTTCTGTACATATTGGTGACCGCTGGGGAGCAGGGACTTTTGCAAATGTTTATATCACTCTCTATGGCAAAAGAGGGGACACAGGTGTGAGGAAACTTCATACATCTCTAATGAAGGGAAGAAAATTTCAAAGAAATAAGGTAATGGCACCATACTGCAGTCTTACATGTGCAAGGCTTAGCACTGCATTAAGTAGAGCTTAATGCGGGCCCAGAATACATCTAGCTAGATAGGCAAGAATTAGGAAACATTCACAGAATTTTTCCTCCAGATATTCACAATACACCAATGCCAGTGTTATTTCTTTCCTGTACAAGAACATACCCACACAGCAATAAAGGCTTCACATGAGCAATACAAAGCAGATTTGTGGGGAGAACCTCTGTGATCATGCTTCTGGCTTCTTCTGTTCCAAATTTAAGACAGAACAGGGAGTAAAAAAATTAAAAATCAGTGAAAAATTAGTTACAGAAATTTTTATGAGACTTTTGCAGTCTATGGTGTTTCTGAAACCACAATTCCACCCTGAAACACCAACTGAATATCAGCAAGTTTAGACAAAAAACCAAAAATTCCACATAGAAAAAGAATGCAAATAAACCCAGTGTTTCTAGATAAATAAATTCTTCTCTTGTGAATTAGAGTTTCACTCGCTGAACAAGGACATTTGAAAAAGTTCATGCAAAAGTGTCCATTGTCAAGGAGAGGCTTAGATTTCTGTGAAATAATTGTATTAGATAATTACCACAGCACTTGTTCTGGTAAAAGTGGAATCAGTAATGAAGAGAATATCCAAATTTAATTTCTGTGTATTTCTCAGAACCATGCCTGTATATGGAAGACAGTACTATATTGTAATTATTTTAATTCATGTTCATACATGGATTTATTTCCTAAAATATCTTAATTAATGAAGTTAATGATTTCTGCTCACAATCTGCTGCTAGGTTCTGACTATTATTAGAAAAAAAAAGATCTTTTTGTTATATGAAAGTACTTTCAATATTAGTAGCAGAAAATATGCTTCTCCAATATTTTACTTAAAAAGTAATAGAGACAACACATAGGACTTTGGCAACTACTGTATCCTTTTAGAGATGAACTTGCTAATATCTTAGTTTTTTAAATGTTTTGACCTCCAGTTTAGTTAGTTCTTACTACTGAATTATTTTATTAAAATTTTGGTGTTAATTATATTCCTAGACTTTGCTGTTCAAATATCAGTTGTTCATAACTTTCTTACCTTTAGCAGTTCCAGTGACATCCATCTGGCCCCTGGCTGGGCCTTATACAGAACATCTGACTTACAAAAATTTAGTGGGGCATGCAATTTCTTTCTTTGCATTTCTTATTTTAACTTGTCTTGCTTTTCTCATCCCTTTTCTCATCTACTGCCACTTGTGTTTACTTTTCTCATGTCTTTCTCTGCCTTCTCTATTCTGCTTTCCTTCCCACCTCTAATCTTTTCACTTTCATTTTAACTTCCTCCCTTACTCTTCTCAATTTGCTCCACAATTATTATTTTTTATTTTCATTTTGTAAGCAAAGAAAAAAGTCAGGTTTTCTGACTACTGGAGAACAATTATAAAGCTATCTTGGAGTAAAAACACTCTTTAGGTTGTTAACTTTTGTTTAGAAGTATTGATATATATCTAGACTTGTATGATAAGCTTTAGAAACTAGATATCTGAAAGATAGGAACTTCATTAAAACCAAAATCTTATCATAACTGACTGTCAGAAAGTTGAGGTATATAGATTTTAATGTAATATGAAATGATTGATGCAGTAATACATATTGACCAAAGATCAAATGAAATTAAAATGCATCATTAATGATGAATAGAGGATTAAATGTTATCTCTAATCAGTGTGTGCTTTCTCAGATTCAGCAGAGAGATGCTATGTTAAACCTTACAAAGAATCCGACTTTAAAAATTTTGAATCCTTAAATGAATTCAGGCCTATATTTTCCCTGAACTTCAAGTCCAAATTCTGTTTTATTAAGTATTTCCCTGTTTTGCAGGTGGATTCATTTTTGGTGGAAGCTGTTTGTCTGAGTCATTTGCAAAAAGTGGTCATAGGTCATGATGGAGAAGGCTACGGGGCGGGGATGTACCTCAAGATGGTTACAGTCAAGGAATCACAAGATTCAGACCAAGAATGGGTCTTTCCACTGTGGAACTGGCTCGATACTCATCTGGGTTTATGTGAGACTGTTTGTGAGATTGTAACGGTTGGTAAGTTCTGCAAAACTGACCTGACCATTTTTATATATATATATTTGACTACAGCTCATTTAGATGACTATAGTATCCTTTTATTGAAAATGTAGATATTCAGTTTGATCTTAGTGTTGTAGCAGAGCCACATCTGGTAAGGTCAAAGTTAGTATAATTCTGTCTTCTCAATGTGTTGCATATGGAACACCTGCCTTCCAAATTAAACACAGCACATTTCAATGAGAGCTAAACAGCCAAGCTTAGGATGTGCACCTCACGGGGGTAAATAGCTTAAATTTTATGCACTATTTTTCAGCCTAGAATCTCATTTAAAATCTAAAGAAAAATTATTTCAGTGAAATGAGCCTAGTCTTTACCTGTGAGAGTATTCCACATCACAAAGCAGCAGTTCTGGTATGCTCATCTCTGCTCACTTCACACCTACTGCTATGCCATGATTTGCACAAATCTAAACCTGGATGTGCTTGGCAAAAGAACACGTACAGCAGGACCTTTACTCATTCAGAAATAGTAAAAGATTTCTTCCTTCAATCCTGTGAAAAGAATTTGATGCAAAGGAAATGAACTAGAGAACTTTGTGCAGAGGAAGTAAGACACAAGATGTCCTTGATGCAGTTGTGTGGTTTTTCTGAGTTGTAGAAAGTACATTTTCCTGAGCTGTTCCTCTTCATGAAATCATTTTCACTTTACCTAGACTGGTTAAAACAGAACTAAAATGAGGAATTACAACAATTAATGAAGAAAAAGAGAGGGAGATGGTGATATTGATCTTTTGAGCATCTGGCAAATAACTTTGTGTGTTTATTATAGGTTACCTGTCAGTCTCACACTATTAAAACTCCTATTATTTTGCTAGGTAACATCTGGTGAAAAAAAAAAGTTCATTAGAATTGTTCATTTTGCATTAGGTGCCTACATGCTACATATGGCTGCATGCTCTTAAATGATAAATTTGCTTTAGTAACACTGATTGCTTTTTAAAGAACAATTACTTAGACCTCTAAAAGGTGACTGAAAATTCTCTTAGCAATTACTTCCAAACATGAAAAGGAAAATACACTGGCATCAAAAAATGCCATTGAAACTAAATTTTAAACACAGAAAGAGCATTAAGCTTCTAAATTCTACACAAAAAAGATAATAAAGATATTGATGTGTAACTCTTAGTGAGCAGTTGCTATAGATACAACATAACCTGCAAAAAGAGCTTTGTTTGTGTATCACAGCCTTGTATAAAGGCTGTGATCCTGCTAGATTATGCCATTCTCTCATGCTGTCATCTTTCCTTTCTCTTTGATAATTTTTAAAGGCAGAAGGTCGACTCTTAGTCCTAAACTACCTGAAATCAACATGAAGTCAACAGGTTTCTGGATAATGGATATCACTGGATCTGACTTGAGTGCTGAAGAGGATCCAATATGCCTTTCTTTCATCTTCTACGGCAACCTGAGTCACAAAAAGTTGCCACTTCAAGTCACCGGAAAAGCAATTCAGATCAAAGTACTTCAACCTTTGTCTGTTGCAAGAAAAGCCTACGAATCATGTAGCCAATAATCCGCTTAATTCTGAGATAAATTGTTTCTTTAAACTAAACTACCAAATTGATTTTTAAGTCCTCTGTGTAGTTTGGCACAGATCATCATTTTTGTTTGTAGGTAGCAACACATGAACAATGGTTTTTGAGTGAGCAAATTCTCCCAGTGTCTCATACTGAGAATGTTTAAGTGAGCGAATTGGTCCCTTGGTGCACATCACAGTGTATAGCACGTGGCAGGTACTGATTTACAGGCTTTGTTGATCTCACAAAAATCAGCAATTTGTAAGCATACAATATGCCATGGGATACTGTAGAACTTTTGGGGCTCATGATAGAGAAGGAAGAATCATAAATGAGATTAAATGCACAGAAGGTTAATTTTTCTCTTTTCTCTCTCATGTAATTTATTCATCCCTGCCATCAGTTTCTCTGAACTGGTTTTTCTAGTATGGTTTCTCTTTTCCCCCTGTTATTTGTTGTCTCTTCCTTTTTCCTCTTAATGAAGTGAATTTTATAATTGAGTTAAGAACTCATTTGATGTATTTTGTTGCTCCTCTTTTCTTTAGTGAAAGAGGAACTAAGCAGACTAGACTAACCACAAACATGATACAAAATGAGGTGTACTCAGAGGGCTTTTCTGAGTTATTTCCAAGAACCTCTGGTAAATAAGAAAAAAAAAATAGTGTGAAGATGGAGGTGCCCTGTCAGAGGAAAGGCTGAAGTCAGGCCACATGGACTTCTACTGTCTGTGCATATCTAAAATGAAAGAGCAGGGGAAAGAATCCAATAAATATTGAATAGGAAAACACAACATCTCTTTTCTCCCTTTTTTTCCTTACAGTGAAAAAAAATATTTTAAACCACTAATTATAATATCTAAGGCCTCCTCTGCTTTCACCTAGTATGTCCTAGAGATGGTGCATTATTCCCAGTAGAACTAGATTGGTTTTTTTCTCAAAAATGCAAGGTTTTAATACTCAGCTTCTATGATCTAGAGTGAGGATGATCTTTTGGATGTTTGCTCAAAACTGGATTAGCTTTCTTTCAAATTTATAAATAATTGCATCATTTTTATTGTTGTAAGAAATACTTCCAATAGTGTCCAAAATTTTAAAAATTGGCTAAATCTTCTGTGCCTTTAAATAATCTACTGAATCTGTGTCATATATATGAACAACGTGCCTTGTTCTGTGTACGTATTTCAGCAGTGACTGCCATTGCTTGCTCCTTAATATTAAACCTTAGGCATTCCGTCTCCTCATTCATGTTTTAAGATAAATTTTGTATTGATTAGGAATTAGTAAAGTTGATTAGAAAAATAGGACTCGTTATAAATCTGCCCCAATTTTTTAACTACTGAAGTTTGTTCAACTGTTGCATACAGCTGCCAACTACACTTGTTCTGGCACAATTGAAATGAGATCCATTCATCTCTTTCTCCTCACACAGGATGAGCTGGCAGGTATTGGCTCAATATACAAAGTTCAAATAACTGGCCCACACAGTGAGCTAAAACAGCCATGGCACTTAGATTTACTGCATCTGAAGCACACAGGCACAAAGGAAGAGATGTATTTAGCTTTTGACTGCTGGTTCAACCCTAAGGAAGACAAATGTGTGGAGCTTCCAGCTCTCTATGCAGATCAGGAGCCTTTGCCTGGTAAGCTATGTCCTTTTTTGTTACTGGGGTCAGAATCTGTCTCTGGAATACCAGTATATCTCTTTTGGGCCAAAAATGCTGTGTGAAGATTTCTGTAAGAATTTGATATTAAAGAGTGTGATGATTGTGCACATTCATTTACCAGAAAAGAGAAATCATTGGTATGAGGATTAAGAGAGATGCTCTAACTGATGATACCAAACACAGTACTTGGCTTCTTTCACATTAGATGATGTTCCAGTTTTAACTCTTGATTATTTATTATCTCTTCAATTTAATGCTATGTGAGTTGAAGATGAGTGAAAAATATAATCTACTGTGTGATACTATTTGTCTCTTCCTATTCACAAAAAGATGTATGTGATCTAGAAACAAAGAAGGAAAGAATTGCAGACCCCCTGCACAACAAAGGTAGAATTTTTAAAATGCCACACAGTTAGCCAGCAAAAGGATATTCAAGAATTTTAATTAAGCTAGTGTTTTATTGATGTCAATGAGAAATTCATAGCACAGCAACTGATATTCTACAAAAATATACATTACGTTGCATGTTTCTCTGCTGTTAGTAACACATGTGAACGATTTGATGCCAAAGAGAAAATAAAGTGATTTCTGCCAATCACCCCCAACCACTTCTCCTGGAACAACCAATTGTATACTGATAACTTGATCACTAGTACTTAAGGACAAGCTTCCCATTTATTCAGCTCATTAGAATAAAGAGGATTGATGGAGAGAGTAAAGATCATATATTGAGGCTTTTAGTGCCAGTTAAGAGGTTTATTGCTAGAGGCTATAGTAAAAAGAGTGTTCTGCTTCAATGGAAACTAATAGAAAGTGATAGAAGCAGCCCAGAAAAAGAAATGAAATAGACCACATGAACTTTTGCAGACCATTCTCTAAATAGAGTTTCCTAAATATTTCATCTAACAAAGTTGAAAATTGAAAGAAACAGCGAAGACCCTTTAAATTTCTGGTTTTGTGTGGGTTTGCATAATTAAAAAAAATTGTCACCTTGTATTCATGTACTGAAAAATCTTACCATTTTAGACTTTTGATCCATCAGATTAAAAAAAACATTGGGTGTTGGATGTAATATATCCAACATATCATGAATATAGTAATTCCAGACCTTATAAAAAGGCCCTATTTCCCTAATTTATTTAAGAAAAAAGGAGAAGGACTGTAAATATGAACAATTATTTTCTGAATTCAAACTTGCTAATTTTTTTACTGCGTATAAAAAGTACAAAAATTTTAAAAAGTTAAAATTCTAGAATACACCTCTCAAAGCCTTTATTGTGCTAAAAGCCAAATGGAGATACTGTCTGAAAACATTATTTTGATATATAAAGTAATTAATTATTGAGATATATTAGAAATTTAGGGTATTTTTCTTGGAAAATTTCTGGGAAAAGAAATGTATATGCTTTCTCTCAAAAATTAGTGTTTATATGGGAGTATTCACCAACCTAGAAAGTTTCTCACAAACCATTTTGTGCAGTCCACTAATTTACAACTGGAAGTGTTAATACCACTTTTATTCTTTGTGGTCTGAATACCACTTCAGTCTAAAATTTCTTCTTTGTTATATTTTGGTTTTATTCATAGACACACAAGAAATTAATACAAAATAATAATAAAAATAATATGTATTTACTCTCCTATCTTTAATTTATGGGTTTTTTTTTTCCTTTTTAAATGAGCATTAGGTGTTTGCTTTTGGTTTTGCAATATGTTGGCTTACATCTGAAAGAGAATTTTTATAAATAGAATTGGGAAGAGACAAAGAATGAAAAGCTTGAACAGAATACCTTGTCTTAGTAGATTTTCATTGTTGGGGTATGCTGTTCATACAGAACACAATCAGAATGCTCTCAAACTCAGCCTAAAAACTTTTACCCCATTTCCCAGCATCTCCTTTCTGTTATGACTCCTTTCATAGGGGATACTTGTATACTTTTATTGTGGAAAATTAATAGTAAATCTTTGCTATGACTACGTTGAGCTTTAAATTATGCATCAATAGATTCAGCAGTTTCAGCTGAAAGCACCGACTCAGCAGAAACACCACACACACTTCTAAGCTAAGCTCGTGGGTCTGTATATTAGTGATTCAAATATTAATGGACAAAAGCAGTAAAAATGTGATGAGCACTGTGCTTTCTCATCTACCCCCATGGAAGTGGCCAGCCACATGGACCAAAATATTTTGATCTTATTCACACAAGTAGCCTTTTGACTTCAACAAACCTGCTCATATGGCCCGGTTACACAGAGGAGGCAATGCTCTGAATGAACGACACAGAAACTTCGTAACCTAACTCCCCTGAAACCAAAATGCCATTTGCTAAATGCTAACCAAAGTGTCACCTGGACAGCTCATGTATTTTCAACCATCTGGAACTCCAGAAAAATCAAGTCTGTGTAGCTGTGCTCTTTAATGCAGCTATGTTGTCTTTTACCTGGCATATATTTCACTCCTCTGAAGAAAGAAATATGTTAGGGCCCCAGGCTGGAAAAACTAGGCTGGTTTACTAGGAAAACTCTTTATCATCAAATATGAGTGATACCATCAATTATAAGAATTTTCTCAGTCCTTAGTTTAAATTATTTTAAAAAAAAGTACTCCCAGTTGGAGTCCCTGAAGCAAATACTACTGCAGTGAAACAAAGCTACCTTTAAGCAAACAGATTTTCTCAGACATCATCCTCATGAAGTAAAAGGGAAAGAGGAATAAATACATTTCAGAAGTTTATTGAAATGAGCACACTTTTATTAGCAGGCTTATACAGCCCTTATTATTTAATAAGTCCTTTTAAATATTGGTGTTACAGTCTATACCAACCCACTCTTTAAAACTGTTAATCCTGTTATGGGACCTTTTTATTTTAGAAATAGAAAGAAATAGCTATATAAGATGTCACAATATTTTAATTCAGACCTTTTGATTATAACACTCAACATGAATAGCACCAACTTGTGAAAAGAGCTGTAAGAAAAGCTTAAAATAAATATCCTCAGAACACTTTTTTTTTCCCTCCCTGTTTTCCTATCACCTACGCATAAAACTAAATGACAGCTTTAGCTTCTGGGTTCATTGAATTATTCTTAAACCTACTAGAACTTTCTCATAATTATAATATTTGTAAAGAATGCAAAGTTTGCTTAAATAGACCATTTTTATCTTGGAAAAAATTTGATTGAAGAAGAAAAATATACTGAGAATATCAGACATTTCCAAGATGTATACTCAGATATTCATGTATCCTATGATGTACATTACACTGAAATATATGTTTCCAGACTTGAATAATGTGCATTTCCATGCTCTCTGGCCTGTACTGTCAGCTGTGAAACTGAAAGTGCTTTGTTTCTCCTTGATTTCATGTCTCTCTAAAGCACCACTCCCATCCTTTGCACACCAGAATTGCCTGGGAGAGCAGATGTTGTAGAGCCAGCCAAGTTCCAGGGAGGGACAGGAGGCAGAGTGAGGCTGGAAGACTTTCTCCAGCATGTAAATGTCACATAGTCTAGATGTTGTCTATGTTTTACTGCTACAGTGATGAAGGCTGTGGGAGAAAGGGCTGATAATTTTTGGTAGTCAAACATAGCTCAGGACTTCTAAGACGCTGGATTTTAAGGCTGCTCAGTTCTTAAAAAAAAAAAAGTCTTAGTGTTTGTGATAAAAAAAGTTCAAGAGATAATACAAATGTTTTCAGATACATTCTTGGTACATGTGCATTGCTCATCACCTGCATCCCAAATGTCACTCTGCATTTTACAGTGGAGAAAAATGTTGCCCTTATAAAAATATTAGACACTTGTTTTACAAGCATGTGTTGCTACAAGAGGATAGCTTTTATTCTTAGGCTGAAGAAATTATGCCTGAAGCAGAGGAACATTTAGACCATCTAAATTTAGACTCCTGAGTTCTAGCGTTTATCTGTAGAATGTGTGGGAACCCATCAGAGGTGTTTTCTATAGCACCTGCCTTCCCCTGCTGGCTACATAAGGATCTAACATAGCCACCAAAGTTAGATTCCTAAATCGACAGTACCAGCTCATAACACAAATGAGCCCAGACAAACACACTATGCAAATTATACTTACTATTATAATCTGAATTAGAGCACACAACACCAGAAGGAAAATAAAGTCTATCCCCCAAAAGCCTTTCTTATTCTGTCCTGGGGTTCTTGTTGCTAAAATGATGCAAATAAGAGTGAATATTGAGATTGTGACCTGCTTCTGTTAAGTGTTTCTTTTTTCCTTGTTTCCATAAGAAACTCAGGGGCTGAAATAGGTCATCTAAAAAGTGAACCTAGGAGATTTCCGTGAAGTTTGTTTGGCATGAATTCAGTCTGGTCTCATCTGCATCTCTTCCCTATGTATTGTGACAAAAAGAGGCAAGGAAGCAGAAGATTCATATAGGGGACATAGGTGTCCCTTCTAATCTCTCTACTAGGACCTCAGCTGAGAAACTCAGGAATGCTTTTCCTTAAACTCAAAATTCAGTTATCTGACCTGGATTTGTGGGCTATTATATCATTAATGGAGGGTTCTTTGGAGAATGATACAAAATGTCAGGAGGCTTTCCTATTTATGTGTTAAAGCTGATGTTGAAAGAATTTTTAATTCATTATTTTTGATTCATATTAACATATTTTAAGAACTTTGTGGCAGTATAATGGTCTAACTAGTGATAAATAAAAATAGAGGGAGGAAAAATCAAAGAAATGTCAGCAACAATCTTAGAAAGAAAAAATTAGACTTTCAGAAGGGAATACAAGTATGGTGTTTTTTTTCTTAAAAATGAATTTCCTACATTATAGGGAAGGGAACAGCACACAAGAGATCCTATGCCCCAAACAGCAACCAGTGGCACTTATTTTCTGGGTGTGGTGTTAGAGCAGAGCAAATCTATATTCTCTAGATTGCCATCCTGTTATGCAGCAGGAATGTGTTTTGGTTATGTGTGTGTCACCAGAACTGAAGAGACCGTGTTTGGTGGCACAAGAACTGGTGTATAATGTGGGCGTCAGGCAAGATGACAAGTGTTTTCTTCTGCTGACTTTTTGGGTTTATTTTGTCTATTTTTTATGAAGTTGTGGAGTATGAAATCCATTTGCACACGGGAGACTTGAAGAAGGCAGATGCCACTGGAGAGGTTTATCTTCGTATACAAGGAGAAAAAAGTGACTCAGGGAAGACATGGCTTAACTCAAAAAACAGCCTGATCACTTTTGTTAGAGGGCAGGTAAAATAATGAAAAATGTAACTGAATCTGTGAGTGTCTTTTTGTTAGAACTTATATTTTCAGAAAGCATTTCATGGATAGAGTATCAAAAATATTAATGTTTTATATGCCATATATTGATTGTCTCCATAGCTAACATAATGTTTTTAAGCATCATCACTGTTGTGTTACAGTAAAAGAGTTAGGGTGATAAATTAATTCTGAATTAGACTAAATGACCTCTAAGAGTTCTGTTTTAATATTCCTGACTGGAATATTAAATAATTCATATAATAAATATAATTTAATATAATGACTGGAATATTAATATTAAGGCCAGGAAGACATCACTGCTTTATTAAAATATGCCTGTTTTTTAGAAGTGATAACATTTCTGTAGGATAACTTGCATTTGTAGCCCCTCCATCTAAAGTGGTCTATGAACTTGTTAACTTTCCTGAACACTGTCAGTGTTCCAAGAAGACTCTTAGTTTTTTCATGTTTCAAATTTTTCCACCCACTTCTTGCTTTTTGGTAAACATATTGTTTCTTTTTGAGATTAAACAGCTTTTCCTAGAAGAGCAATTCCTTGAGTAGTTATTGGCAAGAGAACAAAGTAACTAAAACAGACTTCAGATCAAAAGGAAATATCTCTTTCAAATCAGAAGAACATGTCTAGCTGATACCTTTTTAGATCCTAGTGTTTAGAATTTCAGCTTGAATTTTTTTTTTTGTGTTTTTTTTTTTTTGTTTGTTTGTTTTAAGGAAATAATGAAATGAGGTACCTGGAAATCTTATTTTAGGGAGGGTGAGAGAGAGTGTTTCACTCTTGCCAGCCAGCTGAGTGTAGTATCTTCTCTGGAGCAGAAAGCTGGAGAAATGTACTTGATACATGCTTCATTTATTCTTTACACATACCTGTGTTTATTTTATCTGCTTTTCTTACTACTTTTAAAGGTTTTAGAAGATACAAGGTTTTTGTATGAAAAGAAACCCAGATCTTAGTCATTATGTCCTCTGTATTTTCTTTCTCCATTGTGGAAGAGAATATGCATGCCCAAAGTCATGCTCATCAGGAACTGATCAAACTGGTACCTCAGAGTTCACAAGTTAAGTCTGAAAATAATGACAGGATAATAGAGCTCATCTTTTTTGAAGGAGTCATGTAGGAAGTTGTATAGATTAGTCTTTTTGATGATAGTAGAAAATAGTCTTGTGTAGTATGTCTTGAGGATAGTGTCAGAGAAATCTGAACAGCAAGACTGCCTGCTACAGTGGATAAGGTATCAGTACAGACCGCAAGAGCGACAGATTCCTGTTTCTTTCAAAAACCCAAACTGTCCCAACCTTTTAAAAAACTCTTTATTTTATAAGAATATCATACATTTTTGCCAAGAATAAAACTTGTAGAAAGAAACCTGAACAATAGCACTTGACTTCTGTGAATACTCATTCCTGTGGAAGTACTACTCATCTGCAAATTCACAAGGATTTTTCTGCATAATCCAGATTCTGTGTCAGTTCTTGAACAGGCTTGTTCAGACTTCCTAAATCCTTTCTCTGAAATTCTAAAGGGCTTTTCTATATCCTGGGCTATAAGACCCTAATCTTCTTCTTATAGAAAGGGTTTTGAGTTGCAGCTCTTTTGGTATTCACTCTGTTGCAGTCCTCTTTACTCCAATTTACTCTCAAATGATGAATGCTCTGTTTTAGTCATTGGTCTTTTATTCTAGATGATTCTTTTGATCAATATTATTCTTACAGACATTGAAATTCTGCAACTGTGTGACTATGGGAACAGTGCAAGAGGTTTATTATTTTTTTTCAAACCCACAAACTAGTCCCCAACTGTTATATTCAAACTTGCATTTTCTACCCATCTTCTCCAGACAACTGCTTCTGCGTTCAACAGAATAACTCATGAAGTTATAGCTGTAGAGATTTAATTTTGCAGCTGGTTTCTCAAAAGATTAGATGAATCCATTCATAAATAGTATGTTTCCAAACCTCATTTCTTCAGGCCCAGTTAAAAAGCCAATGAATATGCATTTTAAGCAACATGTCAGTGCACATACTTATGTGAGCTTTCCCAGAGATTATGCAGATGACTGTTCAAAGAAGAAGACAAGCATATATAGGCAGGAAGGTGAATAAATTATAAATATTTATGGTATGGAAAAAAGGAAAGACTCCATGAAGACTACTGATCATTCAAGTCTGTTGTATGTAGAAAATTTGGCCTATTATAGAGATGATTTCAAGGTGACAGCCTTATCCCCAAAAGCACAGTGGTTGAAATCTTCACAGATACCATTCACTTAATTCCCATTTATATGCCTAATTCCCACTAAAATAATTGTGAATTTTAGTGAAAATGAAATTGCTCCAGACTTTCAGAATTATTAGACATTTTGTATTTATCAGTTTCTTTGCAAGTTAGGTTCTGGACCAAAGTAACTTTCAACACACTGGGATTTGTTTATTTCAGTCCATGAAGGTATGAGAAATGAGAACTTTATTGCTAGTGTGTGTATCTGATTTTTCCAAAAATACTTCCTACTAAATACAGAGGCATTCTGAAATTCATAATTCCTAATATCAACTGGATAAGAAAAGATGAGCTACAGTACATAATATTGAATTATGAAGTCAAACACAATTAAATGGCATATATGAGATAAATTTGCTTCTATCAAGACTCAAAACAATGATCAGACACACCAGGCTAAACTGATAAATACTCAAAACCAGACCCCTATTAAGTTTAAATAAAATATCATTTTGATTATTTCCATATTGCAGGTGGATATTTTCAAAATCAAATCTGTATACCTTGGCAAGTTGAATCAAGTTTGTGTTGGATTTAAAAGTCTAAGAAAAGGTTGGTAATTTTTTTGGTTAATGTAAGGTAATAATGATGTAGATTATTAGATTTAAGTGATCCTAGTACTTCAGAAATGTCTTAAATATAACACAAAATTGTTTAAAAATTTAGAAAATACGAAATTGATGTCCATTGTCTGCTGTTCATTATTTCTTTTGGATTAAACATGTCAAGTATCCAGATACAGCTTGGTTTTACTAAAATGTGCAAGGGATTCCAATGTTGTGACAATGTAAAATTATAAAATTATATATGCAATTGTTCTCCATTGAAATTTCTATCTTTTTATAAGAACAGCCAACAAAGCTTTTGTTTTTCATGAAGCAGTATATATGCCATCATGCTTTTGAAACTTTTGTAAATATCGTCTTCCTGTACATTTTTAGATGATGGATAAGCCAAAAAAAGGAATTTATTTCAGGGCTATGTGCTTCTATGTAAAGATAAGAAGATAAAATTGGTTCATTAGATTGAGAAGTTGAACACAGAAGAAAGGGTGTTCTGGCCCCACAGGTTCTTTCCTTTTAATCCATGCAAAATATTTTTTTAGGGGATCCTGCATGTGTGAGGTTGACTGGCAGATAAAAAGGCTGTATTTATGCAACATTTTTTCTCATCCTACAGCTGACTCCAAAGCAGCTATTGTAGCTAAAAAAAATTTGCTTATTTCTTGAAAATAAATACCGACAGCAAAGAGAATCATGAATTGGTATTTTATTCAACCCTTTGGCTACAATTTTGGCCCATCATTTTTTAAAGACAACAGAATAGAGATTCTACAGGTATTTTTACTCCTGCAGGATAATGGTGATAATGGAAATTATTGTTCCAGAGTATGATAACCTGAGTCTCTTGTTCCTTTTTCTTTTCTAAAAAACCCTAAGATTACAAAATGACTCCGTAGGTTAAACTCGGACTCAGAAAAACAGGATGGGAGACTATTTCCTAGATGGTAACACTAAAATGAACAATCAAACTTTCATTCACTTCAGCGAGACTGGGAGTGTAACCAAGTTTACCAAGACTCAGAGATCTGACTCTACAAAAGCTTTGTTTCCAAACAACCATGGTTTCAAATCAAGATAAAACTAGCCGAACTTTGTTCCTCACTATATCTCCCCAGATATGAAGCTATGGGTTGAGTGGATTTTCTGATGGCTCTTGTCGTAGAAATCCTGATCCTTTTCCTATTAAGACATTGATAATATAATTTCCTAGTGGGATTTCTTGTGTTTAGAGATTGCATATAGAAGCCTTTCCATACCTTGAGGTGTAATAGATCATTACAGAAAATCTATCCCTACATTTAATTTCACAAGATCTATAAAAACATTGACTATTTTGGAGTGTAGTGGAACATATAGAAACAGATACACATAGTCAATATATTTTCAGAAGTTTTATTTCCTTAAAAAGTCTGTCAAAAGAAAACCTTTTATTGATTTGAAGGTAGAAACTTATGACTGCATACACAGAATATTTTGTTGCTTAAAAAGTATAAATTAATAATGTCCTGTTTATTTTCAATCAGATGGGTGGTTTTTGGAAAAAATTCTTATAAAAGAAGTCTTCTACCCTTTTTCTACACATGTTTTTTTTCACGACGGATGGATCAATAAACGCTCCAAGGAAGATTTTGTAGAAGTCGCAATTCCACTCAAAGGTAATACAAGCAGAAGTGTCCTTCATTGCCATGAATCACTCCTGCATGGCAGAGAAGTTCACAGCTGGTGTAAGGTTACATCACACAGTAGGAAGAATTTAGCATTGGTACCACAATGGTGAGGGGCATGGGCCTGGACCAAGGTGAATCATGCCTTCTGTAAACAAAGGGGACAAAATTATGCCTGGGTTGGAGAAATTTGAAATGGCAGTATTGAAAGATTCTCTTGGAACAATACAAAGAGAAGAGGCATGGCCTCTGTATGAGTGTGACATGGATCCATGAGGCCACTGGCTTGGTTTTCTTCCACTCCACGGGACTAACATGAGTAATGAGGGGTTTGTGGCTTTGTTGCTGAATTTCCTGTGCTACATCCAGCACTACCAGGCAATGTAATCTTTTGGTTTATACTGCCTTATAACAGATATTGCTCTAAATATTCTGCTTTTACTGCAGAAACATCTGTGGCATCTCTTCCTGTAGAAAATTTCGATACAAAAAGTAGAGGACGATGGCAAGCATGGGTGCACTGCACACAAGTCCCAGAAGACATTCCTAACATTCAAGTTGTTGCATTTGGAAGAAAAGGGAAATCCCCTGCACAGAAAGTTCAAAATCTAAGTGATATTCCCTTTTTGGTTGGTTTCTTTTCTACTTCATACAAGTCTTACCAAATAGTTTCAGTAAAATAAGAATTGTAGACAATATGTATGACATTATGTGTACTAGTTGCTTGTCAGAGTTAATGTTTATACCTCTGTGTCTGAAATAAACACAGCTTGGAAAACTTCTCACTTGTGGCCAAAACATGTCACTTAGGAAAACTCTCTTGAGGAAATGCCAAATTTGATGTGAAAAACCTCATTAACTTTGAATTAAGTCAGGGGAAAAGAACTGGCCTTGAAAATACAGAATTCAGTTGTACATTTCCTTCCTTTTGTTGTGTTGGCCTATGCTCTGCAACCATTTCCCTCAGTAAAAAATAGACATAATTGATAATACAAATGTAAGTCTGAATTAACTTGCACACTTAATAGGACTTCCTCATCCTAACACTAACCTCATTGACTGATATTATTAAATGTTGTATTTATATTTTTGGGGGGGTTTAAAGTATGCCATGCAAACTGTTGCAGATGACATATAGTTAATTATTGCTATTTTTTTTAACAGTTGACCACTGGTGATATTGGAGATATAACAAAAATCTCTTTTGTGTTATGTGGTCCATCCTTGAGAAGGGGAATTAAACTTCACAAGGTATTCCAAATATAACACATATAAACTTGCAATAGTTTTCAACATAACAGTAAATAACTTTTGTTGAGACACAGATGGTCTCAGTTACCTGGTATCTACAGATGACTGCCTACAGCTTGCAGATCTCTTTGTGGGCAGCTCGATCTTGTTTGCACCTGCTGAAGTGCATATTGCTATAGCTCTTCACTGGTGTGCAGTGATGCACAGTTCATCCTTACGTGGAAGGCAGTGTTTCCTTCTGGTGTTAGGAAATGTTAATTCCTACATGGGCATACTGACAGTCTCCACACAGAACAACCCACCTGTGGGAGCCAATTAAGATAATATTCAGTGTCTATTCTTTGCAATATGGCCATCAGTGGGCCTCAAACCTCTGACTGGAGTTTAATATGTCTTTAAGAATTCTCATAAAAAGGAATGGAGAAAGGACTTAATGCTGTCAATCTTAAAATAGAATTAGAATTTAAAAGTATCCTTAATACTTAATTCAAGGTTAATTCAAGGAAAAATTGTGTCAATGAGCTCTGCCTATAGGCAAGGGCAAAAAGCCCCACCGTGGACATAGCACTGAATTAATCTGAAGTAAAAGAATGGTTTCTTGAACTGTGCCACAGAGTCCCTTAACCCTACTATGGATTTGAAAGATCAAGGTGATTCCTTAAATGCATAAAGACTCCAGAAACTGTTCTGATGGGAAATGCTAGAGACAGCTGCATTCCAGACTAAAATGTGAATGGGCTTGTGGCATTCAAAGGAATGTTGAGTCTGAATTTACGAGTTCCTCTGGGGACAGAGGAGGTGTTTATCTTACATTTCTACCCAAACGTGTTCTGTGTCAGTTAATATTGTACTCTCCGTTTAGGCTATAAAAATGGAATGAATGGGTAAGCAAAGCTAATTTCTCATTTTAAATATGCATCTCCAGGCCATTTGATAAAACATTCAAAAAATATTTTGACATTATGTTTAATATATCCATTATGTAATATAAGAATTCAGCCTCCAGACCTGGTGGCCCAAAACATGGCAGAAAATGCGTAAATGTAATAGTTTGCTTTCTGCTTTCTTTTCCAAAACAACCCTGTGCAGCTGGCACAGGGTTGTTTTGGAAAAGAAAAAAAGTATCTGAAAGTACAGAAAAAAAGTGATTTTTTTCTGTACTTTCAGATACTTCACAATTCATTTAATAATTGGTTTATTAGTATCTATAAATTGTTACAATCTACAAGAAGTCAATAGGTTGCTATCAACCTAAGTAGTTTCTTGCATGCATGTGCAACCAACAACACAAGCCACAATCACCTCTATTGCTTCTGCCATTTATGTGTTTATAATATTTAATACTAATTTATTAGTCTATTTATAAATTAGTTATTCCTGGAAGCATAATCTAACATGTAACGTGTTGGTCTCACTAGAGTAGGACTCTTACAGTGCAGAAAAAAAAGAGATGTTGTATAGAAACAGAAGAATAACAGGCAGTTGTCAGGATGCATAAGCTTACTATGAACCAGTGGTCAAACCCAGCCACAGCTAAATAAAATTACCTTCTTTGATTTCTTTTTAAGTGAAAGAAGTAATATTCAAAGTTCCAGGAATTTCTCAAAAACACAGATGAAACTGCAAAAAGGAGATAAAATCCCTACATTCATTTTGCTACTCTGTCTTCTCTATATTGATGTTTACAGTGTTCTTCCAAATACCAGAATTTTTCCTGTTATCTCATACAGTTTTCTGCAAAATTCTGTAGTGAATTATATAACCTTAGCTAAAATTTATGTATTTCCTGTAACTTCTGAAGATTTGTGTATTGTAGAATCAGCAGCTATTTCTTGCTCAAAAAGAGTTCCTGGTCTTTGTTAAAATAGAATACAAACCCATTGTTTACATTTGTTCAGAATACAGGAATATTGTATGATTAAGTTCACACTTAGATGTAGTCTTAGAACTAGCAAGAATTTGTCAGGTATGTTTTATTTTAAGGCCAAAATCTGCATAAATCTACACACCGCATTTTTACTAATCCAGTTTCTGCAGGCTGTCTGCCTGCATATGCAGGTAAACCTTGGTGCAATTTCAAGACAGATAGGAGTTTATAATATGTATTGATATTTAGGGTTGCACATACTCATAGAAGTTAGGGGGAAATATTTTTATATAAGAAGTAGTTATACTTTTAATATAAAAATTTTTGTTATTGCAAATGCAAAAAATACCTATTTTTTGTAAACAATAGGCTGCAATTTTAGTGGAATTTAATACTACCTAAATAAATCTACCTTTTATTCAAGTAATAATTGGTTTAATTCCAGAAATGGTTATGGAGTATTGTTTACTTTCATCTGGAAGCCCTGTGACTGATCTTGTAAATCACTGCACAGAATGAATGGGCAGTAATGGAAATTGTTAGGTCATTGCATTTCTAAGAACTCAAGGGCAACACAATCTAACAAAATTTTTGAGTGCAGATCTGTCAAATTCCCAATAATTTAGTTTATCTCAATCAATTATATAAATATTTATACATTTCAAAGCTTGCAGTTGAAATCTGCGTGAGGAAACCTGTACACAGGATTTCTAAACACTTGTATCTTTTTTCTGTATGATGAGCACAAAGTTTTGCTGTTGCAGCTGCTGTCAGTACTGGAAAGAAGTGACCACAATATTTTTGGGAATCCCTGTATAAGAATTCTTACTGTCCTAGTGAAATTACTTACTTACTTACTGTCCTAGTGAAATTAATTACTTACTGTCCTAGTGAAATTAAGTTTTTGTTTCTTTTTGTTTCCTTTTGTTTTAAATGTCTTGGGTATGCTATTTCTATACAAAGAGATCCTGAAGACTGAAGGAACCGTTTCTGGAAACTTGCAGTCATTAGCTATTTATAAAGTTCAATATTGCATGTAATAGCTACCACAAATGTCTCTGCATATACTTTATAGATTTTTACTCTGTATTTTATAACCTGACCTAGGATACAGTACATGACCTGAGTTGATCTCCTGTGAATCTGATTTCCACCTTGACCCTCTCAGAGGGGATGTGCGAGCTCCTAAGGCTGTGCTTCCTCAGCTGGTTTGGATGTTCTAAGTCCACACACTTGGAACCTAATTTCTTCACTCTCCAATAAATATTTAAAGCCAAATAGAACGAAGCTGGACCTAAGCTTGCCCATTCTATTGAAACTCATTCTTCAAATAACTTATTTCCACAGGCAGCCCTGAAAGACACTGGGCACCTCATTTCTGCCAACTTTGAAAATCCTACCTGAGATATAGCAAGACTCTTAAAAAAATAAAAAGTAGCAAAGTAAATGTTTTTTCAAAATGGGCATATGCTATTAAGATTGATGTAACTGTATTCATTATTTGACATTCTGACATTGCAAACACATGCAGGTCAATTTAAGCTGTATCTCTCTTTGGTTCTTTACAAATGGGTCCCATGCTTGTGTTGATATGCAATGAAGAATACACCTATAAACATCAGGCTGCAGAATTAGCAGCTTGAAGAAGCTGCTCTAACTGTTATGCAGAATCAGATAGCTCTTACAAATTGTGTGCAGGAGTAAAAGGAAAAAAGGTCAGTTTGTACTGATAGAAATAGGAAATTAAATAATTAAAATAAATTAATTTCTTTCTCTGATTCTACCTGCAGCTTCAGCTCAAAGACTTGGACACTAAACAAGAGCTGGGCTTTCACAGTGAAGCTTCATGCCTATTTGGAGAAGATGGATCTGAGACCGTGACAGAGCTTGCTGCGGTCAGGCCAGACCAGCCACCCCTCAGGGGTATGCTATTGTAATAAAAAATAAATACATGAGCAAATGCACGCACACACACAAAACTGTAAACTGCCTAGTAGGATGAACACAAGGCACAAGATTGCAAAGCATTTTATATATATTAAAACCCACTCAAAATTACTTTTAACTATTTGTTCAATAAACTGTGGGGTCACAGAATCACAGAATCACTAGGTTGGAAGAGAACTCCAAAATCATTGAGTCCAACTCATGCCATAACACCTCAACTAAACCACCGAGTGCTGCATCCAATCTTTTTTTGAACACATCCAGCTGTAGTGACTCCACCACCTCCCTGGGCAGACCATTCCAATACTTTATCACCCTTTGTGTAAAAAACTTTTTCCTAATATACAGCCTATATTTCTCTTGGCCCAGCTTAAGGCTGTGTCCTCTGGTTCTGTCAGCTGCTGTCTGGAGAAAGAGACCAGCCCCCACCTGACTACAGCCACCTTTCAGGGAGTTGTAGAGAGTGATAAGGTCACCTTTGACTCTCCTTTTCTCCAGGATAAATACACCCAGCTCCCTCAGCCGTTCTTCACAGGTAACTGGTGACTGGCCCCAGCTGGGTGCAGCATCATTCACCAGCACTGTCTGTGCCCAGCCATCCAGCCAGATCCTAACCCAGCAAAGAGTGCCCCTGTCCAAACCATGGGCCGCCAGATTTTCCATGAGGATGCTGTGGGAGACAGTGTCAAAGGCTTTGCTGAAGTCCAAACAGGCAACATCCACAGCCTTTGCTGCATCCACCAGGCAGGTCACTTGGTCATAAAAGGGGATCAGGTTGGTCAAACTTGACCTACCTCTCCTAAACCCATGCTGGCTGGGTCTGATACCCTGGCCATCCTCTAAGTGCTGTGTACAGGTATCTAGTTAAAGCATTTTCTTCTGTTTTAAAACAACTGACATGTATTGTTTTCACTAGACTAAGTACCAGTTTGAAAGTCTGAAAAATGCACAAAGCCCAGTTAGTATATTTGCATGGCAGTTTTCAGAAAATGGCTGATTTACACCTAATGAGGGACTAATTCACAGATTAAAAAAAGGCAGGTACAAAGTCGTAATGGCATGAATCACAAAGAGAAAATGCAGGGTTTTTTTAGGTTCTCTTCAAGCCCCATATCTGCCTCTGGAACCATATTTCATTTAATCATTGTATTTAAAATATGATAACATCTTCCTTTGTTCAGATTACATTTTATGAAATATGTAGAAAAGAATTCTCATTCATTACACTGTGAACAGAAGTCTCAGTTAAAATATTTAAAACTTTTTGCATGTAATATCTAACTGGAGGCTAGACTGCAAATGGAAATATATCTTAAGAGTCTGTTATAACATTCACAGAACCCATTAAAAATCCTCTGTCATGCTGCCTCAAGGAATATGTACTGTATAACTCATCAGACAAAAGTCATGGCAAGCCATCCTTTGTTGTGAAGAACAATAACAATGCATATTTGTATAAATAGCTGAGCCATTCCTGCTGAACATATTAAATAATGTTGGCCATAATTCTCAAAATATGAGATTGAAACACAGTTCAGTTGATCCAGAACAAAAAGTGCTTTTTATCATCTGTGTCTGTGTTTTTTCCTTGGTAAAATGTTAGAGTTGATAAATCCTAACTCGATTTAAGACTTGTAATTCCAACAAGAACTCCTGGTTTTTATTTTTTTTTTTTGTTTTTACAAAGCATGATAAAACCAGTCTGAATCTTTCAGGAGATTCCAGAATCCAGAAGTAGGATATTTTCTCCTTCTGTAATGCAAGCATGGATTCTTGAATTGATTAATAAAAGACATTTCATCCATAATGCTGTAGTGTGTGCTGTGAGATAGCTAGCAATCTATATGAAAGAGAAAATTGATGTCAATTCCTATAACTTAATTCCTTGGTCTTGAAATTAATCTTATACTTAAAATATATTGGTTTATAGTGTTTGATAATTACGTTGCTAATAATCTCATTTGGTAATGTCTTGTGTCACTGATTTTTCATGGCAGAAGTCCTTTACTTCATCAGTGTCCATACAGGAGCACTGCCTGCGTCAGGAACTGATGCAGATGTATTTATCACAGTATTTGGAGAGTGGGGAGATTCCTGCAAAAGGAGACTAGGGCACTCACATTTTGAAAGAGGGCAGGTTAGTACTGAGCCATTTTCCTTACATTTTTTTTTTAATGTATTTAATTTTCTTATTTTCTAATACAGTGTTTCTTTCCAATTATGAAATACCAGCATGGATGTTACACTGTGGTAATCTGTGGAAAGAATGTGTTACTTGCTAAGTATAAGCATTTAACTAAATTGAGATTCCAGTTTAGGAATAGTTTGAGTACAAATAAATCTAAAATCCACAAACTCTCAGTAAATGTTCTTAGAATCTGGAACTGCATCCAATGGTATATGAAATTCCATGGCTTAATTTTCACTTATTTGTGAAGCTAGTATAGAAATATCAGGGCTATTTTCTGTGACTGCTCCTTTAATTCTTTTTTTAAATCCACCCAGATAGAGCTGAAAGAAAGATTTTAAACATGTTAGCTACCATATGTTAATTAATCCATTTATCTGTTAAATTGCAAACAGGTAAACCTGGTTGTAAACCTAATTGTCTGCTCAAGATAAATCCTAGGAGAGATTTTCTGGTTAACCTTTGCTTTTTACCACATTAATGATTATATCTACACAGCATGTTCACCCATACCCTGAACTGAGAGCACTAGATCAATTAATCCTGTACAACTAAGCAGAATCCTCTGCATGTTTTCATACTGTTTCTTATACTCTCATGCCTGAGATGCCGTAACTTTCCTAGGTAACCTGTTCCACTGCTTTCCTAGCCTTGCACTTAACTCTTCCATCACTAGATTTGTTGTGTCTTCTTGAGCTTAGAAACTTAGAAACCAGCCATGTCATTTTGTTCCAGTCATACTCTAGTCATTGATACTTTTTCTTCCATGAATTTGTATAAATTCTTCTATAGACATATGGTAAGTGTACATAGTCTCCTGTTTCACTTTAATTGCACTTGACCTTCTACCTGAGTAAAACTAAACTTTCACATACTACTTCAATCTCATTCCACATCTTTCTTTGGAAAACACAGTGAATATTTTCTTCCATGTCGCTTTCTCTTTGCTTCTCCCTTGCTTTATAGAACTTTATCCTCTGTGCACTTGTATTGCTGCATTATTTTTTGCAAAGAAGAATGTCTCTTTAATCTTCCTACTTAGACTTTTCTGTATGTTGCTCTGACTCTCCAATAATACTTCCTTTTTTTTCAGATGCCATTTTTTTTTCAGAATCCTGCTGTCTTAGCCCAAAGTGTGCTATAGCGATACAGGAAGAGCTTTATGATGTTGATTGTCTGGATAATATTTTAAAAATACAGATTAATCCTTGGCATTTTTGAGCAAGGGCAACAGTTTATGGCAACTAGAAGGGTTAATCAAAGGTGTAAAGGCACATGGTCAGTGACATAATCTGGAAAAGAAGTCTGAAAAGAAATAATTCACATGGCATTTCATACTGGATGTTAATACAGAGCCAGTGATACAGCTGTTAGTGATAAAAAATTCATGGCCACTGTGTTGAGCTGCAGAGTGCTCAATGTCTTCCCAAGTAGTTCCTTTGTTTTCAGGAAGCAGTTTTTGTGCTGCAGACAATGAAAATGTTCTTCAGCTTAGGTATTTTGTGTGTTCATGTTCTTCATTGTTTGATGGGTTCCTGGGAAAGGGTTGAGCAGTGGAATGGCAAAATGTTCTGACCATACTGAGCTATTTAAGGTAATAAATATTAAAGCTGGTAGCAAAGACTGCAGAAGAACCTCATACACAGTGAATGGGTAATAAAATGGCAGAATTAATTCTTTGTAGCTAAATGAAAAGCAGTGGCTGTGAAGAGGTATAACCCCTTAAATTTGCATGCAAAATGATGGGCTCTGAAATATGGAAGTAGTAGGATATCATCTCAGTAGAAGCAAAACAAAAGGAAAACAGAAAAAAAAGTGTTTAGAAACTATTTAACAAAACAAAAACAAAACAAAAAAATCCAGCATCTTCAAGGCAGAAAACACAGTCATGCCTCCAAAGATGTTCACTAGTGTAGATGCATAATAGATGCTGTGTTTTGTTGATTCACTTGTTTTTAGAAGTGCAAGAAGAATGTCAAGGGATATGAAATATCTTCCATACAAAGAACAGTGAAGCAAACCTGTATGTTTAGTCGGGAAAAGAGATGATGAGAGGAAAGGTGAGGGAGACAAAAAATATAAAATGGCATAGAGAAAATAAACATTTCTATTTCTTTGTGAAATACAACAGCTCAAGAGCATTCAATGTGTACAGGTGGCAGATTCAAAATAAAAGGAGGTGGTCTCTTTCTCAATGTGTAATTAATACATTTTACTTTCTGGCACAAGATGTTGCAGATGGTAAAGACATATTGGTGCAAAAAGCCATTGCACATTGTCATGGAAGACAACTTTCCACTGAGGCTGTTAAGTGCAAAGATGTAATCTCTGCTCAGGCAATCTCTGAACCACAAATTGCAAAAGGCTAAGAGACTTTATATTCAAGAAGCATCTCTGTGTATTTGCCCTGTTTTTCAACTCTTCCACAGAAATCTGTTAGTGGTAGCTGTTGGCAACACTATATGAGATGGACTAGATGGATCTGCAATTTAAAATACTACAACCAGTCTTACATTCCTTTTACACAGAAGTACATCAATAAAAAAGTTGGAATGAGGTTTTAGTAAGAGTTTCTAAGACTAGAAGGTGAAAAGAAGGAATGTAAAGGGCAAGCTGTCTTGAGAGACAAGATTATGTCAGCAATATCCCTGAAAAATGTGGAATGGACGGGCAAAGAAAACAAAGTTAAGGAAACTTGAGATACAAAAAAGGAGATCTCTCTTGACTGATAAGAACATGAACATAAGGAAAAGCTAGGAAGACAGAAAACTTCAACCAAGTGTAAGAAAACAGATTAAAATGGGTTTGCAAAACAGTTTAAATAAAATGCTTTTGGCTTTCATTAATTGTACTTCCAGTAGTGTGTTTAATACAGTTCCAAATGTCTTTATGCTGAAGGGAAAAAAAGAAATGCAATGACATCAACCAAAAGTACATTCTTACTAATGCTGAGGGAGCAGACAATTTAATGTATTATTATGAGAATTCATTGGTAACAATGGGTGATTATGACCACTGTTGTCTAATGAATGTTAATTATTATCACAAAGAATGAAACTAATGATAGGTCCCTTTCTCAGTTAGAGTTAGCTGAGAAGGAACATGAGTGTTAGCAATACAGGATATTCCTCTAAGTCAAAGGTCATGTAGACTGACAGGAAAATTATATTTGGCTTGGAACTACAAAGAATAAAATTAAAAAGCAATGAGCGCTCCCGAAAAGTTATTTGCAAGATGTTCCTCCCAGCTAGATCTTATTTTGGGCTACATATACTTACATGCAGGGGTATAACTTGCCATGGTAACTGTTTGAGGATATCGTGGATATAACAAGGTATGAATGCTGGAAGTCCTAAGGCTGTGCTAGGAATAATAACTCGGATGTTTTCTTTTTCTGATCACATTGTGAAGAATAGTCTGACACAGGCAGGAGAATGGATGAGATGACATAATTCATTCTAAAAATCATCTCTTCCTTCATTGCTTTCTGGTCCTCATCCTTTTTCCTGCCTGGTGGCAAATTGGTTGGCAACAAATAAAAATTATAGCGTCTGTTTCTACTATCCATCTGGGGTTTTTTTAATGTCACCCACACACATGCCCATGTATCTACCCACCCACTTATATTATCTTGCACAGAACACATTCATTCTCTCACTCACATAATTTATTCATCCCAACATGCACTAGTGCAGCTGCCATGTAGCTTTTGTTTACTGGTAGCCGTAGCAGTATTTAAACAGATGTCTATTTACATCTGAGGAGCACATCAATTCTTGCCTGTATGCGTGTGCAGCCTTAGTTATAGTTTCTAATGTCAGTATCTTCCTTTGTTTGCATAGCCATCAACAGTATTTCTGCTCAGAGTTGAATAATACAACATTTCCTATTTGAATAATAGGGTGTCTTAAAATGTAAAATACTTGAAAATATTTCAATGTAAAATACCTTATCCAAACAGAAATTTAAGTTACCAGGTCTATCCTGATTCTTGAAGAACTCCCTTTGTTTCCTTTATGAGGGATTAGTTGAACTTCAATTTTCATGAGCTTTCTGTAAGTTTTTCGACCAAAGGTTTGTTTCTACCTGAAACAAGGGGATGTTTTTTGTAATAAAACCTGAACTGCAGTGATCATGATGAAGGCAAAATGTATATATTCAAGGATCCACACAGTTTCTGAACAGGTTCTCCAAATAAGAATGTCAGCCTATAACATCTTTCCTTATTCTCAGAAAAAGATACTTCAGCATTGAAAGGAATTTGTCTTTCCAAATGCAAACTTCTCAAGGACAGAAGATAAGACATACAGTCTAATCAGTTTGCTATTCTTTTTGCCTCTATCTTCTCAGGTTTGTGTCTCTGAAATGAGAGCAGTAGACCTTGGACAGTTAAGCAAAGTGCTTGTTGAGCACCATAATGCGGGTTATGGAGCTGGATGGTACCTCGACCAAGTTGTCATCCATGAATCAGGCAAGACTGAAGAACAATATGTATTTCTTTGCCAGCAATGGTTAGACAGTGGAGTTGGTGATGCACAGATGGAACGAACACTGAAACTTCTTGGAAAAGTCAGGAATGGAGTGTTGACAGGAAAGATTTATGGTAAGGTCCAGAATCCTCAAAACTCCTTCCAGATTTGGTTTTAATTGTAATCCATAATTTTGGTTATTTTGAAGGCTAAAACCAAACTACAGAAACAGTATAGCTTGAATGTGAACTGCCTTTCTCACACCTATTGTCTCTCCAAACACTTTCCTGAGATGGTAAATGCAATTACAATGCTCAGGGAAGAAAAACTAGAGCATAAGGGAGATACTAAGTGACAGAGGCAATGAGGTACTATGATTTTAGTTGAGGTTAGGAAAAAAGCTGAAGCAGAAAGAAGTAGGTTGTTCCATATGGCATTCAATGCAGAGCAGAAGGCTCCTGCAACAGTGATGAAATCACAAGAGATACAAAAACTCTTTTAGCAGAATGCGATTTTCCCTTATGTTCATGTATTTGCAGAAAGCATTTGCTTTTATTTGCAGTTTTCTTTTTTACTTATGTCAATGGCACAAGTTCTCACAAACAGTTAGTTGACCTGAAGTCAATATTCTATTCAAATTGTTTAATTGACAAACAACCAAAATTCAGAAACAACTTAGACATTGAAAACATGCTTTGCCAAGATACTGTAATTTTTAGCTCTCTCATGTGTCTTTCTTGAAGAGGTGTAAAATGCTGGTTTGGGTCCATTTATGAAAACTGAATCAGAACTGATAGACCAAGCTATGTAAAGTTTAACTAATCTGAAGGTGTGAATTTGCATTCTGTATCAGCCATTTTGTAAACCAATCTCTATTAACTTCCATGATCCTGCTTATTTCCTTTTATGTTCAGAGAATTTTATGCTATACATAATTGCAGATAAGACTAATAGATGATATCTTAATAATTAGTCATCATGAATATCTCATATCATCTAACAAAACAGAAATATATCTTAGTAATTAGTCATCTATAGTTAGTCCACTCATGAATATCTCATATCATCTAACAAAACAGAAATTATGGTACTGATACTACAGAAGAACAGAAAACCATGGAAATATTAGCATATTATGGGCAGCTAGAGTAGAGACAATTTCAGAACAAGAAATAGCTGTATTTCTCCACTGCAAATATTCTAAGTCTCTATTAAGTAGATTCCATAGGTGTCCTACATAGTCCATAGAGCGAGGCAGGTGTCTCCTGAGGGAAATTCAGAGAAGAAGCCTGACTGATCAAAATCTGTCACATCTTTCTTCACTGACAATATGAAAAGTGAGAGAAATCTTGCATCCTTTTTTATGCACCTTGATTAATGTCTGAATATAGTTGTGTAAAAACACTTTCCTTCCTTGGTTTCCCACACACGGACATAGTCCTCAAAAATCTGAGTAAAGATTTGATAATAATTTCAAGCCAATGTTTATTAATACTCTATGTATCTATTGAAAATAATTTTTGGTCTGGCTGTATAATAAATCTAGAATTAATATGACAAGTGAATAGAGAGCCTATGAAGAATGGATAAATAAAAGACAAGTCAGCAAAGAGCAATATACCTTAGGGGCAGAAACTACATGGATACAATGGAATTTACTAAATTTCATGCTAAATCAGATTTTGTAAGAAGAAAAAGAAGCAGTAATGGTTCTTCAACCCTTTACTCATTAAAGGAACCTTCAAAGATGAGTAACTATTCAGGAACAATAGAGTGCGGACTTAAGATCATGTAGGTATAATCCCTAAACAAATAGAATACCTAGTCTCTCTTCTCATTAAAGAACCATAATGCTGGTCAAGCAAAAAGCACTGTTGGAAGCAAAAAGCACAATTACTAATGGGATGAGCTTACTGGAAATCAGAAAATCTGAAACACAAATAGAACTTTGAGCTCCATTTACTCAAAGAATGAAAATCAGGGTAGTTGTTAGTCCAGTGGCAGATGCAATAGCAAGGATTTAAAACACTTTTGTGAAGACTTAACATCAGCAAACATAATGTCTCAATCTAAAGAATACAAAGCATAATGTAGGTGAATATTGCCCTAGTAATTGTTCACATGAAAATCTTTATAACACACTTTTGAAGAAATGAATAATTGAGACAATAGAGGCAAATAGGAAATGAGAAGGAATGCACCATCTTTACTAAAGGTAGACTGTAAAAAAATGATGATACAGAAATATTTTGCATAAGATAAATGTAATGACATTTAATCTGTCTAAATTCCTGTATTGAATTTTATTTTCTCTATGGGAAATTATTATGTAATCACAAGAAAGTGAAAAGTAGGAGTAAAGGAAGAATTGTAAAGAGCTGGAGAAGAGATAATGAATATGTTAATGAAATCTTTCGGTGCTACAAAGCTGGGAGTGCTATCAGGAGATGCAGAGGTTGTGTGATAAATTTTGAGAACTGAAGAACAGGAATTGAACAGAATTCTGTGGCAAGCAGCTTGTATACAATTAGGTGTAAACTCAACTAGCTATTTGAGCTCTCAATTCTGATACATGGTCCTAATTTTAATTGTTTTGGGTTTTTTTAATAATTAGGAACTAACTAGCAGCTAAGGGTCCAAAAACTGTATTTGATCTGTATTGCCATGTTTTGTAACAATTCTGCTACCCAAATTCATCAGCAGGAGGACTATAAGAAATACCTGGGTTTGTTATAAGATCACAGGATATTTTTTGAGGCAGTAAATGGCATGGCTATGGGGTCACTGTGACCCCACAGTGTATGCAGGCATTATTGGTGAAAATCAAAGTGGATTACTGGCTTTACAGAGAAACTGTGATATTTCACCAGCAATGCTGTGTGTAATTGTGGCCACTTCTGTCCAGAAGGACTGGATCAAGCTGGAATAGTTGTAAAGAAGACATGATGACAGAGAAAATGGCAATCCTTTGTTGTGAAAGGGTATTGAAAAAAAAGTGACAGATTCAGAATAGCTAATGAAATGCTCAAAATGGGCACAATAGTGTTCTATTAAATTAATGGTGGCTTACACATCAAGGAGTGAGAAGAGTTATTTAAACTAACAAAGTTGTCATAAAAATAAACGGGTTTCAGCAATCCACTAATGCCTTTATGAGAGAATGAAAATATCTCTGAGAAAGAAACAAAGAAAGATTAGATTTTTAGCATTGCACTCTGCATTGGGTTGACCCTGTCTGGATGCCAGGTGCTCGTCAAGGCTGTTCATCCTTTATCTCCTCAGCTGGACAGGAGGAAAAAAAAACACAATAAAAGGCTCATGAGTCAAAACAAGGACACAGAGAGATCACTCAGCAGTTACTGCCGTAGACCAAGACATGACTAGGGTAAATTAGCTTAATATATTACCAATGAAATTAAAGTAGGAGAATGAGAACTAAACCCAAATCTAAAAATGCCTTTCTTCCTTCTTCCTGGGCTAAACTTTACTCCCAATTTTCTCTACCACCTCCCATGCAGTTGTGCAGCAGGACAGGAAATGAAGCTTGCAGTCATTTTATCGTGTTGTCTCTATTGCTCCTTCATCTTCCACTCCAGGACGAGGTCACAAGAGATAGTCCTCCCCAAACTTCTCCGAAGTGAGGCCTTCCAATGGGCTGCAGCTCTTCCTGAACTGCTCCGGCATGGGCTCTTCCACAGGGTGTACTCCTTCAGGAGTAAACCTGCTCCAGCACAGGCTCTCTCCACAGGGCCATAAGGTCCTGCTGGGAGTCTGCTCCCATGCAGACTCCCCTGAGGTCACACCTTTCTTTTGGACATCTACCTGCTCCATTATGGGATCCCCCATGGGCTGTGGATGGATCTCTGGTCCACTGTGGACCTCCATGGGCCACAGGGACACAGCTGCCTCATAATGGTCTTCACCATGGGCTGCAGTGGAATCTGTGCTCGCCCTCTTGCACTGACCTGAGGAACTGCAGAATTGTTTCTCTTGCATTTTCTCACTCTTCTCCAGTTGCAATTGTGCAAGACTTCCCACCCCACTTACTTAAATACCTTATCCCAAAGGTGCTCTCACTATCACTGATGGCTCAGTTTTGGCTAGGGATGGGTCTGTCTTGGAGCAAGCAGGCATTGGCTCTTCTAATGGCTTCTCACAGAAGGCATCCCTGAAGCCTCCCTGCTACCAAAATGTGGCCATGCAAACCCAATACACTGTTTTATACTTAACTAAGGAGAAGAAAGGAAGCTGCTTTTAATTTGAATCTTAACAGATTTATCAGAAATTATACAATTTAATTTATGTGTCATAGCAGCCTATGGCACTGTACTATCCAACTGACATAGTCCTTCCATTCCTGGGCAGCTATCTGTATATTGATAGTTTAAGGCCAGGTATTGCAGTATTAAAGGGGTAAAATATCCTAGATTATGTCACATGGGAAGCAATAAATTTTCATTTGACTTCCATTTTTTCATAGATATCATTGGTTTCATTTACATTTAATGTTCATAGGCATGAAAATAGATTTAGGATTATTCATGAAGTCATAACACTGAAGTTATTTTAAATGATTTTACAGATGGTGAGTACTAAATTTTTGTGTCAACAAGTGCTGGATTTATGGCACAGATCCTCACCTGAACTAAAGCAATAAAGCTTTATTTGCATTAGTTATAGTAGGAGACAAAGACTTTCCTGTTGTGGTGAGTAAGATGAGGTGACTGAACATTCTGAAGCTGAGGTAGGAAGCTGGAGTTGATGAGCATAAACTCCGGGAGTCTCTGATTCCATTACTCAAAGTAAAACAATTTCAAAATAGCTATTTGAAATTATCAGATCCATACTTAATCTCACTTTGCATAAACAGAGCTAACTCATGTTATTAAAAATATTCTGCTCAATTCTTCAATAGCCTGGGTGACCAAAAATTCTGATATTCACAGGTTTTTAAAATTGAAACCATTACTTTGATAACCCTGTATTTTCCATATATTCTATTAACATTAATTAAAATCTTAAAGCTAGCTAAATCAGTGAGATTTTTTGGATGAAGTTTCTGATCTTCAAAACTGTCTTCTTGATTGAAATTTTAACCAAGTATCTGTCCCATATAAAGTTGCTGAAGTTACTTAGGAGCCTACCTGACACCAGACTGCAGTCTTTCTGTGCCTTCAGGGATCTGTCAATTAATTTTCAGTGTTTAAGTGACTAAATGCTTCAAAAAGACCTAGTAAAAATTCTTCTGGAGTGTTTCCTGGGTCCCTAAAGTAGACAAATCTATGTGATGCTATATAGGACTATTTTTAATCTCTCAGCAAACATTACTTCTTCACAGAAGAAATGGATAAAGTTTTATACTTTGCTGTCATGATAATTGTGGTGAGGTGTGATAAAAATATTTCTTTTCAAGTGCTGAACCAGTTTATCTCACCACCATATTCTTATAGTATGTATGGAGCATATTTTAACGTGTTCATTTAAGTAAATCCCAAAAAAGTTAAAATGAAGATATTCCCTGACCGAAGGCAAACCTGATAACCAGTAGTATCTTGTAAAAAATATGCTGCTGGTGACTAGTGAGAAAAAAATTTAAAATCATCAGGAGATATTTATAAGGGGAAGGGGGAGATATCAACAGATTTTCATGGCTCTTCACAAGTCTCTAATGTGGAACTGGCAGTCTCATCTGCACGGTGCTCTTGGACTGGCGCATCTCTAAATTATCAACTACCACTATGAAAGGATTGATGTCCAAATATGCTTTCCACTGAATCAATAACAGTGAGTTAACCTGTCATGTGCCAGTATTTGAGCTCAGTACAAAGGTGGGAATGGGTTGCTAGTCCCTCACTAGCTCAGCCTGTTACAAATCTATGTAGTATTTTGGGTATTCAGCAAACCCGTTCATTTTTTTCTGCTGTTTTATTTCAACAGGGACTTGGGATATCCACGTCACAACTAGTGATATTTCTTCTAGTTCCATGAACCCTAAAATGTCTCTAACTGTATGTGGTGGAAAAGGAACTTGTGCTTCAGTCACATTCCCCAAAGGATCCCTTAAAAAAGAGCAGATCTATGAGACTTCTATTGAACTAAGTAAGAAATTTAATACTATATTCAAAGTTCGCCTAGAAATTAAAGAATCTGGAGAAGGAGAGAGTTGGCATTGCCGTGAGGTAAAAACTAAAACCTAAAGCAATTATTTATTGTGCCTCTATTATTTTTTTTTTTTTGGTTTTTCTTTCCATATTTTGTTGTTATTTCTTCCTGTTTTCAGTCCTGTCTGAGATTGCTAAATTTTTAATTTACAGAAGCTGTAACAGTTGTGGGGTGTTAACTTCAGAGACTGCTTAAAACACTAGGATAAATATGGATAACAAAAATCTTGTGAACTTAGGTGGATTTCTGGAGAGCCATATATACAGATGTGCTATCATCTTTAGCATATCAGTGATGTCTTTTCAGAACTGTACTCACTGGCATACATTGCAGTATTTACATAACTTCAAATTGGCTGTTACATGTTGTAGAGTCAGTGATCCATGGCAAATAATTAAGGCAGACACTAGAAATGCATTTTGATGAAACTATCTGCCTTTTAAGTTGGCATGTGAAAAAAAGAAGTGAATAGCAAAAGTGACAATCTTTCTTCTGATATCCAGCTAAAACCTGACATCACACTGAAATTGCAGTGGCATTTCTCTATATGAAAAAATATCTTCATCTTCTGCTGGAAAAATAAAAACAACTCTAAAGGAAAGATTAATCTTCTTTAAAATTGCAGACATGCTTTTTGTCCATTAATGTTTCTATTTTGTTCTTATTAAAAACTGGAGAAAAAATAATTTTCCTTTCAATACATGGTATTACTGAGCTGAACTCCCTGACATTTAAATGGTAGGCAGGTTGTTAATTTCATCTTCATAGCCAGATGAAATAGTCATCCAACAAATCTATCAAAATTAAGACTGCTTCTGGAGTATTGTAGGAGACAGTAAATCACAGCAAAAATTTCAGAACAGAAACCTGGCAGTTGAAAACAGTGACATCAATTAGTCTGCTTTACTTCATTAGCCCAGAACAATCACTCAAAGCTCAGTTTAAGAGAAATCAGCATAATTTAAATAAATAAGGAAAATATGCACAGTAGGAAGAGGTAGAAAAATAAATTATAAATTAATTATAAATTATAGATTAATTATAAATTTTCATGCTTTGGGATACATGTCAATTATGTGGGTTTTAGAGAGACATTTCCTCTTATTCCATAGTTTTTATAGCAGGACTGGCTGAATCCTTGTATAAAATACCTAGGTTGGTATAGAAGGTTGTGGATAATATCTATTATTAAAGACAGCTTAGCAGTGTGTTTGCACTGCTGGTTAGAATCACCATGGTCATTTCTATGCTATTTTGTTTTGATTTTATGAGATTGTACCTCCAGAGAGTCTGAAATTTCTGCCTTCTATCAAAAGTAAATGCAGGTGTAGTTGGTTGAATTCCATATTTATATTCAGGCTTCATTCTTATAGCCATAACTGCAAAATAATAATCCTGATTTTTTTAGGAAATTAAAATAATTAGAAAATAATGCCTAGAACAAAATTAATTAAGTTATGTCTTATTTCTTCAGCATGTAATAGCTAATATCTTCATTCTTGCTTTTTTCACTTCTTGAAGAAATAAAACACAGTAAATAAAATCTGAGTTTCAATAAACTGTTCAGGAATATAGATATTATTATGAAAGGAAAATTGTGATAGCATTATACTTCACAGTGCATTTTAAAATCCCTTTTCAGTTTGTCTGTCGTAATGAAAATTACTAAGAATCTTTTGAAGGCAAAATAATGCTACCATCTCCCAGTGACAATTCCTAACCAAAGTTGGTTTTGCTTACTGGCTTAAAGGTCTGGATATTTTAGTGAGTTAGGTCACAAAGAATTGAAATGAGTGAATTATATGTACCCTTTTTAACACAGGGTTGCTTCCCACAAAGTATTTTCAAATAGGTTCTTTGGTCTAGGTTTAAATAGTTTAGAAAATGGAAATTTATCTCAGTGTAGCTGGTAGTACCATACTGCAAGATATCTCATTATTGAAACAGGTTTTCTTATGGAAAGAATAAGCTTCTTAGCTCAGGGTCACAATTTTCTTAGTTTATACACAGAATTCCATAGAGATTGAAATTAATATCAAACTCTATATATTCAAGTGATACATATGTACTGATATATATATATATATATATATATATATATATACACACACACATGTCAGAAAGCATTCTTAATTTTTGTGTTTCAGTTTTTTCCAGAAACATTTCTTTTTCTTTCTCCTGTTGCTTAGAATAAGAAAACCTTCTGCACTGAAAAATATTGTGGTATATTGACATTTCACACAAGATGAAATGCGCCCATATCAACACTTCTTTTTCTTCCATATGCTGGATGAATAGCTTACATAAAGGAAACTTTTTGAACAATTTCAAATATTTTTGTTCCTTCACTGCAGACTCTGCAGCAATAATGTTGACAACATTTTAATTACCTTTAATTGGGAAAGGCATTTATTCCTTCTCATTTAAAAGGCTGTTTTCAAAAGCATTTTAGAAAAAATTATATCCTCTTAATTTTAGATTTTGAAATGATGTGTCATAGCTGTTTAATAGCTTGTCTTTAGCTATAGTTTGCATTAGAGCGCAACAGATGCTGAAGTTATTTATTTTTGTTTCTTTGATAAGGTAAAGCTTCAACACAGAAAAACTAAAAATGTTCTAGAATTCCCATTTTGTCATAAGTTTGCTGATGAAGAAGAAGGAAGAGTGACTGAGCTTCCAGTTCTCACAGCTGGGTCTCCTTTACCAGCAGGTTTGTCACAAATTGGAAATGCTGGGAGAGATTTGGTCAGTGATGATGTCCAATTTTCAGAGCAGTCCAAAGGATTTTGCAGATATTTTCTGTTAATTTCCACCATGGCTAGGTCCAGTCCAGTCCAGTGTTTAAAACCAGTATCTTACAACCTAAAACTGAGCATTGTGCCTTCAGGTCTGATTGGTGTCAGTTTGTGACACATAAAAGAGCAAGCATATGGTACTGAAACTATTAAAAAGGTTTTGAACAGTATTCAGAGTTTAGCTTTTATTCAATAATATGAGCTGGTTCTTTCACAAACTGAGCAAGAGAAATACAGAGGAGATAACTCTCGTGCTGTAATTTCAACAAATTACAGACAACAAATTAAAGACAAGAAGGAGATCCATGCCCCCCCCCACCCCAAACAGATCTCTTGTTGTTTGTGTCCCTAGAATTGCAGGCATTCTTTTCCTGTGACCCAGCAGTTGCATGCCATCCAACTCCATCAGTTATGCCTTAGACCCCTCAAGACTGGATATGTTTGGTTTTTTTCTGTGTTTTTTACAAGGTTCTATAACCAAAGTTAGAGAAGAATGGAAGAACTCTTATCCTAAATGAATATTCTACTATGACAATATCCTAGGCTACTTCAAAAGTTAAGGGTTTAGATCAAGCGCAATCTGTATATTCTTGCCTCTTTTGCTGTGCTTTTAAAGTTGGAATCAAATAAAACACTTAGACAGAAGCTTCTTAAATGTGGATTTGAGCAAGTATTGATGGGAAATTCACTGGCAAAATTCTTTGCTTTTAATTAGTTCTTAGATTTATTTCTTAATGAAAGAATAGATATTTAAATCTTTAAAAATGCTGCTCCTTTTTCTAAAGAGCATTTAATGTGAGGACAGATACTTTTTCTTTACCTCTCCCCACATTTTTTACTCCTTTTGAGTTGAAAGTTTTGGGGATGCGATCTCTTTCTTATTTTAGGAGCCACATCACCAGAGTGTTATGCATTTCTCTGGGAGTAAAGCAGGGATTTTACATAAGCAGCCTTTCAAGGAGTGCTCAGCTGAAGGGTTGTGTGTTCACACTGTGTGTTCTCTCACGTATCATCTCCTCTCCTGAGGCCAATAACTCCAACTGGTGCAGGGCAGAGTGAACAGCCACTGACTGGACCATGATCCAGAGGAAATACAAAAGTTGTTTTCTTCCTGACAGAGTCCAGCTTTGTTTGAACTCGATGAGGCTCTGAGCGCAGACGTAGTTGTTGAGTGATTTAGTGTCATCTATAGCCTAGAAACTTTTTCATTGGAGTGTCATGTATTTAAATGCATGCAAGAGGTGATAAGAGTATTATTTACAGGCTTTTATACCAATATGTTCATTTTTAATTTTTTTTCTTCTGCCTTTGTTTCAGGCCCACTCAAATTATTTAGCTTATTATTCTTTATAATAACCCTTAAATTCTAATTACAATACATCTATGTGCTTTTCCAAGCATTACACTATGCTTTGGTCCTCTGATCACTCCAGATAGGATGAAAAAAGAAAATATAATAGAAGTAATTTATGAAATAACATATATTAACTGGTTTAGGTTTGGGAAACCTTTGCTCTCTTTTTCCCCACAGTGAAAATCTATGTTCTCTACATCACCACGGGAGCTATCCCTGAGTCAGGAACAGATGCAGATGTGTATGTCATGCTGCAAGGCTCCTTGGGAGATACTGGCAGAAGAAAGTTAATTAGAAAAGGAGGCGAAAACTTCACTGAAGGAAAGGTATACTTATAAGTTCTGCAAGTTATTTTTCACTTTTAGAACCCAGTCCAATTACTGTGGATTTAGTGGGAATAGGGAAGTCTATAAAGTCCAGCTTACAAGACTCGGTGATTGTTTGCCTATCAATATCTCAACCTTACGTGGGAAATACCAATCCTTATGCAGCTGATGCTAGCAACACTGACACTAATAAAGTGACTATACAAGTGCTTTTATATTCACTTCTACATTCAAATTTTAATACCTCTTTTCTGCCCATGCTACTTGTCTGACTATGGCACCTTTCCCTGATTTCTGCTGTCTACCCTTCAGTCTGACTCTTGCTCTCTCCAGACTGTCAGAACGACCCTCCATAGTTTTCTTTGGTGTACCGGGAGGGTCTCTCATTCACTGTGTGGGAGTGAGGCTTGTAGCTCACAGATATAGATGAGTCAAAGCCCAATATTGCTGCCAGAGATGCATTTCCTTGATGCATTGTCAGCATAAGCAGAAATTGGAGGGAATTTAGGTACTGAATGTGCTGCAGAAACGTGGGTAGATTTACAGAAAAATGCATGTCTTTTGCTCATCTGAAGCTCTGGACAGAGGGAGTGAAATTTTCAGCTGAAAAGATCACGAGATATTTTGAACATGGAATAAACAAAATGCTTTATTTATTCTGGTTCTTTTTTGACAACAAATTTGAGGACTGAAACAATTTTTTAAAGATTCTAAAACAAATATCTGTTACAGAAGACTTGGTTGGAATAGATGAAGTTGGAATAGTTGAAGTTTAGAAAAATATCCACCAGTGTCTTGCAACCAGTAAGTTATTTTCTTCTGTTGGTGTTGTCTGCCAAAAAAATGAGAGTTTCTCTAAGGATACAAGCTTCCAAATCAGTCTAGACTGATAGCCAAAGCAGAGACATGGTATGTGTGATGAGGAGCAGCTCAGCTCCAGGCTACTCCTAGCCTCATCAATTCAGTGGGAATTGAAAGTGGGTACTATATTTCTGGATTTCAGCTACTTGAAATACTTATTCATAAGAAAAGTTGGAGAGTTTAAATCTTTATTTTTAAGGGATTAAATACTGTGGATAAGGCTACTCAGTTTTGATAAAGTCAGATTTGTCTTCCCTAATGCTGAAGTTCAGGTTATGGTTTACTGATAAGCTGATTTAACTGAATTTTAGAGCCACAGTCCTTTTGTCCTCATAAAGTAAACTTAGTTTAATATAAGTTTTACTAGATTCCTCCTTAAATCATAGTCCCACAAGTGAGTAATCTGATTTCTAGACTGGTAGTTTTTAATGAAGAGGGACCAGGGATGCACATCTAGAAATGTTGACTAAGAAAGCAGAAGTGAGCCACAAAGATTTATAACCTGAAGGGTAGTTTTATAGCATTAGCATCTACTTCAGTTTAGCTCAGAATTTTTCTCTCTTCCAGAGTAAGATGCAGATCTGGCATGTTGCCATCTCTTCATTATTTATTTGACATTTTATAGGAGCAATGTGTGAATATAACACAGTATCCTTATATTTCTAAATGTAGATATCAGCACAGGAGGATTTTAGGGCTCTAAAAGATTGCTTGTGGATAAGTAATAGAGAAATGCATACAAATCCTGATTCACCCATTGTTCTGTGAAAATAAAGGTATTTGGTTAATTGAAAAGTATAAAATTTTTCTGCAAGAAAGACTCCTGCCTGTGCAGCAGTATTTCTTCATTATATGTTTTGGAAATTTCCCAATGTTTTCTTCCCTTTAAAAATAATCTCCAAAAAGACTCTCAAGTGTAGAATGTCTCTTTCTGCACCAGCCCAATCACATATTGTGCCAAGCACCCCTGCAGTCAGAGATTCTGCACTTGGTGGTTTAGGGGATTTGGAGTATAACAGGCAGAATTTGCATTCGGAATCTTAACAGTTGTTCTGACATTTTAAAATGTGCTTTTCCTTGCAATAATTTTTCCCCTGACTATACAGCAACAGCTAGTGAACTGGAACAGTGTTTTCTGTTTGAAATCACATCAAAATATGGTGTTAGTCTCACAGAATGTCAGGCCTGTTACAAGCAACAGTTTAGCTATGCAGAAATATGTAGAAATGTTTAAATATTCAGCAAAGTTTGCAGTGGATTGGAGATCTTCTTCTCTCATTTAACACATTTTTTATTTTCATGAGCTAAGTTACATGATTGCAAAAGAGTGAATTCGCATCTTATATCTGAAAAGTTGCTTTGTGCCTTTCCAAAGTTCTTACACCTGTGAGACCATCAGAGAACTTGTAGGTGAAGTAATGTGCATGATATCATTAATTCACCAGGCCCTGTAGCTCACCCCTGAGAGGGCAGCGCTGTCACCATTGAGAGCTGAGCCTCTGGTGATCTACTCATTCAAAAGAGTGTGAGGTCTTGTCCTGCAAGAACCATAGTCCTTCAAATTGCTATGACATTGATGCCTTGTTTGATGTTCTCCTAAAAGCTGTGAGGACAGACAACTCAATCTCAGCACACATCATGCAGTGCAGCTTTCATGAAATCCTAATAGTATTTATTCATGCTTCGTGAGTCAGTTTAAGCCTGATACATGTTACTCGCTTATGAGGATTTTCTTGAACCAAGTATACTCAGTTCAGACATTCGGTGAAAACCAGGGCCCAGTTGTCTAAAATCCTTACAGTATCTCCATGTTGCTTCTGACACATAATGTTTTTTCAGCAAATGTCATTCTTGATGCTTCTTTATATGACCTTTGATAGACTTGCTGTATGCTCTGTCATATGGCTGTGAGTTACCCAAAAATTTCCTCTTTGAAAATGTGGTTTTTTTCAGATCAGTTCCATCAAAACCAGCAAAGTACACTGAATATGTTATGACTGATATTTAAGTATTTTAATCTAGGTTTTATAAAATTGGCCAGTATTTTAAGTATTCCACTTTATAGAAGCACTAAATTCTCTGACAATTTTTGCTTCATTCTATTAGTATTTGAAAAGATATATTCTTTATCCTGCCCTATATTTAGACATCAGCTCCTCAGGTTGGTGCCATGGTAACTGTAGCACATACAAAAATTTTCAGTGAGAGGTGACTGTTGGTGCTCAGTTTCAGTACTCACAGATCAAGCACTGACAATTAAAAAGAAAAAAAATTGCCAAAAAGTCCATGTGTGCCAGGATACACTAAGAAGAATCACAATGTGGGGCAGTGTCCTGGGGTCACAAGTAGGAAGGCAGTGATGTCCACATCCCACCACACTGACAGTGCTGCTATTTTGTGACTGCAGATAAACCTTCTCTTATGGAAGGCATGCCTGACATAATGATTAAATAGGTGCCAAATGTCATTGATCCAAATGTATTAATCACAGCAGCAGGCTGTTGCCAAGTCACTGTTATAGAGAAATGAACACTAAATCAATCTGGTCATCACAGAATCATAGAATTTTTTGGGTTGGAAGAGACCTTTAAGATCAAGTCCAGCTGTTGACCCAGCACTAAGTCCACCACTGAACCATGTCCCTGACTACATGTTTCCCTGGGCAGCCTGTTCCAATTATTGACTACAATTTAATTGAAGAAATTTTTCCAAATATCCAACCTAAACCTCCCCTGGTGCAACTCAAAGTAATTTTCTCCTATGCTGTGTCTTGTTACCTGGGAGAAGAGACCAACCCCAACGTGGTTGCAGCCAACCTCCCCTCCAGCCTCCCTCCTTTCAGGCAGTTATAGAAAGCAATCAGGTCTCCCTGAGCCTCCTTTTATCCAGGCTAAATACCCCCAGTTCTATCAGCTTCTCCTCATAGGATTTCTGCTCCAGACTCTTCACCAACTTCATTGCCATTCTCTGGACTTGCTCCAACACCTCAATGTCTTTTTTGTAGAGAGGGGCCCAAAACTGAACACAGAATTCAAGGTGTGATCTCATCAGTGCTGAGTACAGAGAGACAATCACTGCCCTGGTCCTGCTGGCCACCCTATCTCTGATACACGCCAGGATGCCTTTGGCTGCCTTGGCCACCTGGACACACTGGCTCATGTTCAGCAGCTGTCAGCCAGAGCCTCCAGGTCCTTTTCCACCAGGCAGTTTTCCAGACACTCTTGCCCAGTCCTGTAGCATTGCATGGGGTTTTGAGACCCTAGTGCAAGACCTGGCACTTGGTCTCACTGTATCTCGTGCAGTTGGCCTTGGCCTTTTGATCCAGCCTGTCCAGATCCCTTTGCAGAGCCTTTCTGCTCTCCAGCAGATCAACACTCTCACCCAACTTGGTGGTATCCACAAACTGACTGAGGGTGCCCTTGATCCCCTCATCCAAATCACTAGTAAAGATTTTAAACAGGACTGGCCCCACTGCTGAGCCCTGGGGAACACCAGTAGTGACCAGCCAGCAGCTGGATTTAACTCCATTCACCACCACTCTCTGGGCCTGGCCATCCAGTCAGATTTTACCCATAGAAAAGTGCACCTACTGAAGCCATGAGCAGACACTTTCTCCAGGACAATGTTGTGGGAAATTGTATCAAAGCCTTTCTTAAAGTCCATTTTAACAAATTTCACAGCCTTTCCTTCATTCACTAATGTCATAGAAGAAGATCAGGTTGGTCAAGCAGGACCTGCCTTTCATAAAGCCATGATGGCTGAGCCTGATCCCCTGACTGTCTTGTGTGTGCTGTGTGATGGCACTCGAGGTGATCTGCACCATGACCTTCCCTGGCATGTAGGTCAGGCCTGTAGTTCCCTGGATCCTCTTTCTGACCCTTGTAAATAGATATTACATTTGCTAGTTTCCAGTCAACTGGGACCTGTCCAGTTAGCTGGGACTGCTTGTAAATGATGGAAAGAGGTTTGGGGAGCACTTCTGCCAGCTCCCTAGGTACCCTTTGGTGAATCTTATCCAGACACATATGTGTGTCTCTGTGCTGTAGCAGGTTGCTGGTCCTTTCCCTTGGATTGTTGGGGCTTCATTCTGCTCCCTGTCTCTGTTTCACCTCTCAAGGGGCTGGAAGATCATCTGGTCT